GTGAGCACCTGTGTGTGTACACGCGCTTGTTTATGTAAGGTTTATCTATAAAAGCGTCCAATAGAGAGTGTGAGGGACCGCAGATCTGACCCCCAAAGATGTGTAGGAGACGGGGGGAGCTCCAAGTCCCAGAGATCCAGGCGCTGCCCCAGAACACAGGAACCCCAAGGAGACTGCAACCAGAAAGGCCCCCGCCCCCCTCGAGAGGCACAGAGGATCGCCCCGGGGGGCCACAACCAGCAGCCGGCAGAGCCCCTGGAGATCTCAGCGGCAAGTCCACAGGCCCGCCTGCAGCCTCCCACCCCCTAGCCGGCCGAGCCCGGGACCCAGGGGCGACCACCCCCGCCGAGGACCCAGCAGAGCCCAGGGACCCAGACCCCACCAGGCAGCCACCGGGATTGACCAGGCAGACGCCAAAGAGCTTAAATCCCCTGACCCGGGAGCCATGAACACTCAGGCAGACCAAGGCACCACACCCCACACCAAGTGTGGCAGGGGGAGGGGAGACAAGATCTATATCATAAAAAGAAGTCCCAGGAGAAGAGAGGAGTCAAAGGCCCCACCTGGCATATACAGTCATACACAAACACAGTCACACACTCCCTCCCTCATGCTCACACATGCACATACAACCCAAGACTTACAAAAATGCACGCCGGACACCCACTCATGCTCCCCATACACACCCTATTCACACTGGTCCTGGTACTGCTGCACACTGGGTACAACCATCACCGGTTACCAGAGTTTGACCCTTTCTGCTGGGGTGCTGATGAGCAGGCTCCCCCGCCCAAAGCTGAGCACAGCAACCCACCACCCCAGACCCCAACCGGACAGCCAGATCTCCCTCCTAGCCTCCAGCCCCAGGAAGCCAAGCGACAACAGAGGTGTGCTAAGACCCCTAGTCTCCCTACGGATGCTCCAATATAGTGTAGTGTGTTGATGAGGTGTAGAGTTTTTTTCAACCCGCGGGCACCCCAGATTTGATAACGTCTGACCCGCACCAAACCGCCCTGCATCACTAGGTTTATTTTTACAACCCGCGCCGCCCCGACCCGCCTCATTAAAAACACGTTACTGAAATGCTTTTATTCAGACACAGGTGCGTTAAACAGGCCCCCAAATTGGCACTGGAAAATGTTAGTAACATTTACATTTTTAAATGCTAAAATAAAATAAAAATTTAATTGGCAGATGAAGAAAGTTTAAAATTAAATTAAATAAGGGTTATTTTTGTTTTGTTACCCTATTAATAGCGCAATAAACCAACACAAAAACAGCACCTAGAGCGCCTGCTTGGGCAAACAAAATAGTAAAACATTTTACTGCTTTTATCAAACATTTTGAAAGCCAACAAACGCATTACCTGTTATGTCCTTGTTTTGTCCAGCAAATGCTGCTGTTGTTGTCTGCGCTGATTACCTCGCTGAATCTTTCCCAAACTCACGATTTAGCAGTTTGTCCCCCCTTTCTTTTAAGAATGTAAACTCCCGAACAAATTTTATCCAAAATATTGTCCTCCATCGTTTTGTTGACGTGGCTGCCAGCCACCTGCTTGGAGCTTAGGTGCACTTCACTGGCGCGTTCTGTACGTGCCTACGTCATGAGGTCGAAGGTCATCTGCGCGGAGTTATGTTTTAAAACGTGGCCGTGTTTAAATAAACTGTCTTAAATATTGTGTTTTACAAAATTAAGCATTGATTAATATTTTTATCCTCAGTGTGCATATGAGCCCGCCCCAAACCGCACCGCATTTAGTGACCTGACCCGCGGGTACCGCGGGTTGGAAGTCAATCCGTGCACCACTAAAATGGAGAGCTTCTCCATCTGGCTCAGCTCTCTTTTCACCACGACAGGCCGGTACAACGCTCGCATCACTGCAGTTGCAGCAATCCATCCCGCTCCATCTTTCTCTCACTCATGAACAAGAACCAGAGATACTTCACATCAGGCAGTACCTCATCCCTAATCTGGAGAAGGCATTCTAATCTTTTCTGACTTAAGAAGACGAAATCTTGCTAAACCATTTCAGGTTTTAAAATTTGATTTGGTCGAAGGGAGACAGAACTGTCGACCAATCAGAGGCAAGATGTCCAAACATCAGGAAATAGGACTGAAAATCCTGCTATCTTCAGCTCAGCTCTGACTTGGCTTACTTCTTCTCCCTGAAACAGGAGCGCCAGAGCTTTTTTTTTTCACAGAGATCAAGTCACAAGGCATTCATTTATACTAGAGTCCACAACAAATGTGTTGAAAAAAAATGAGCGAACTAGGTCTTTAACTCATTCGCTGCCAGCTGTTTCCTGATCGGTAAAGCCCTTCGCTGCCGGCGTCTCTCACCGTTTATACTGTTCTTTTTAAGAGTGACAGAACGTTGCGCGCTAGGATGATGTTGACGCCAAAACAACCTAAACAAAGCGGAGACTCACCTCTTACATCAGGAAGAATCCACGCATTCCGAGCTTTATCCATTCTTTCATAAACCGTTGTTGGATTGTGATCGGCAAACGCTTTTCCGTTTCGCGCCTCACTTTTTACAGCAGCGGCCCAAAATGATCTCCTAACACATGGATTTTCTGCTTCCTGATCACGTGACGTGTGACATATGCGGATGACGATCGGCTTTAGAGCTGAGATGTTTGTTCTCACTGTGCGGGGGCTCGCTCCAATGACCACACAGTAAAAAAAATGCAGTGAACGGTTGGATTTAAAAGGACGACTTTAGTCATCAATGGCAGCGAATGAGTTCAAGCTCAAGCACAAGGCCTGGAAACAAGGCAGAAAACCCCTCGGTCAATTAGCGACCGCCAGTCTCCGACGTAGCATTTTCAGCCTGGCTCAGTAAACGTTGAACCACATCAAAGCAGCTACTGGAACTGTTACCGATAGAAACAACTTGAAATAGTCGAGTCATTCTGAGCAGGTACTAGTGGGAAAAGCCCACCAGTGCCCCCAAACCATTGGACCCCAGCAGCAGCCTGAACCACTAATTCAGGACTGGATAGACCCGTGCTTTAGGTTTCCATCAGACTCTGACCCGAGTACCGGAATGCTGCAACCGAACCAGGCGAGGATGTCACATCCAAGTAATTCATCAAATCAAGCCTTTTACTTTGTGCAAATTTTCCCATATGTTGAATGTTCTTCCAAAACTTGAGTGCAGAACTCACAACAAAACCGAACTCAGTGACATTTTCACACAGATTCAATGGTTGTCTTCTTGCTCAGCCCAGTCTCAGGTGGCATTCCTGCACATGCAGTTGTGTGCAGTACTCAATCAAGACATAGGTTGTCCCAGAATGCTGCAATATTGATCCCACCGTAATGACGTCTTCGCCCATGGCGCCACCTAAAAGTTTAGGGTGAAAGAAATCCATCAGTGTTTTCTGGCCCTGGCCTTTAGGCAGCAAGACTTCTCCAGATTCCCTGAATCTTTTCGCTACATCATAAATTATGGAGCTGAACTCAATCTGAGCAATATGTGTAAAACTGATGAAGGATCATTTGAGCTGTTTTATTCTTAACTCCAGTTACTGTAACTCTGCTGAAATGTTCTTATTTATTTTTAAATCCAGTCCAGCTGTCCTGATCCGAACATTGTTAACCTCTAGATACAACCTTTAGCGTCTTGAGTGCTGCACACCTGAAAACCCTTCAACAGTCCTGTTTTGATAGTGAATCTGGACCAACGTGATCATTTTTAGATCTAACTGACATCAGAACACTCATGCAGCTTCATGCTGCATCAACATTGACTGTTTCTTGGTCTCCATGTTTGCACAGACTCGTTACTTTGAGATGAAATTTTAGCGCCAGTCACCTGCTGCAGGTTGAACCCTTTGTTTGCTCCGAGCAGCTTTCAGCAGAACCAGTGGCCCGCTGCTTGTGTTGTTGCTCCAATTCCAGCTGGTTAGCAGCAAGTGTTGCTAACAGCCGGTGCAAGTCTCTGCATGGGGCTGAGCGTCATGATGGAACTGGCTCTGGGAGCAGAATAAATGAGCCATGCAGCAGCACCGGGAGACCAGCTCAGGGCTGCAGCTGTATGTTTTTTTTTAAACACGGGCTGTCTGCACTCAGTCAGTTTAATCCCTTTGATTAATGGCTGCTTGTTCAGTACTGTTTGATTGGAAGTATGCAGCCTGTGGTGAGGATTAAATCAGGTGTTGGTGAGGTTTTAGCTTTGTGGCTGCATTTGGCTTTTGACATGTTTAAAACAAAAGAAAAAAATCTATCTTGGTATTATTGCCTTATTTGTCTTACTGTGCTGAGGTTTGGGGAAATGCAGGTAAAACGTGTGTTGAGACTGTATTTAAATTACAAAAAAAGGCAATTAGAATAGTTAATAAATTGGGATACCTCGAACCAACCCATAATCTATTTAGTCAAACTAAAACGCTAAAATTAGGAGATATTATTAAAGTAAAAATCTTAGAGATTCTTCATAAAGTAGTTAATAATAATATCCCAAATTGCATAAAAGTTTATTTCAAACCAAGAGATGATCATTATAATCTCAGAGGTGTATTTATGTTTGAATGTGTAAAAGCCAGAACTAATGTGAAATCAAGATGTTTTTCCGTTGTTGGTGTGAAACTGTGGAATGAGTTAGATGATGATTTGAAGAAATGTACTTCTTTACTAAAGTTTAAAGCAGGTGTAAAGTGTCACATATTTACAGGGTATGAAAAGTATGTATAGACATTAATTAATTTTCATTGTGGATATTTATATTGGGGAAAATAAAAGAAATGTATATTGGTTATGTATCTTAGGTGGAAAATAGGGTAGGCTAAAATAAGCATTGCTTCTGCCTATTCCTTTTTTGGTTTAAATTCAAGTTGTTAATATTGTTTTGTTTGAAAAGAAAAATTTTATGTTAATGCTATAAACCAAAACAAAGACCGAAAGAAAGAAGAAAGAATAGCAAAAATTGCAGTAGCTTTAATTGAAACTAACGTTAATATTTCGATTCAACAGGATCCACCAAAGTCCAGTTGAAAGGGAAGCAAGGACAGCGAAGCAGGAATGATGATTCCCAGCCTGGACAATCCTCTGAGTCCAGGGAATCTGACTGGTTTGGGGATGAACTGTCTTCTGTCTCCAAAGTATAGACACTCAGGACCTGGTCTCACCAGTCCTCAGGAGTACAGCCAGTGGCTGCCTTACCGCCACCATGCCAGTCTGCTGCCCATGAAGGAGGACCTGGCTCTCTGGATGAACAAGATAATGGGTGAGGCTGTTTTTTATTGTTATTTATTTAGAAAAAATCAAATTAGACGAAATAAGGAAATGTCTTTTTTTATTTTCTCATAATCAGTAAGTTAAAATCTATACAAACACTAAAAAGTTACACAGGAAATCCTTTTACAGGCATGTTTCTGTTAGAACATGTAGTTTGTAGTACAACCTGTTCAGAAAGTCCTGTGTGTGTGTGTGTGTGTGTGTGTGGTGTGTGTGTGTGTGTGTGTGTGTGTGTGTGTGTGTGTGTGTGTGTGTGTGCCTGTCTGTCTGTGCGTGTGCTTGTTTGTTTGTTTGTTTGTTTGTGTGTGTGTGTTCGTGTGTCTGTGTGTGTGTGTGTGTGTGTGTGTGTGTGTGTGTGTCTGTCTGTCTGTCTGTGCGTGTGCTTGTTTGTTTGTTTGTTTGTGTGTGTCCGTGTGTGTGTGTGTGTCTGTGTGTGTGTGTGTGTGTGTCTGTGTGTGTGTGTGTGTGTCCGTGCGTGCGCGTCTGTGTGTGTGTGTGTGTGCGTGCGCGTCTGTGTGTGTGTGTGTGTGTGTGTGCGTGCGCGTCTGTGTGTGTGTGTGTGTGCATGTGCGTGTGTCTGTCTGTCTGTGCGTGTGCTTGTTTGTTTGTTTGTTTGTGTGTGTGTGTGTGCACGTGTGTGCATGTCTGTCTGTCTGTCTGTCTTTCTGTCTGTCTGTGTGTGTGTGCATGCGCATCTGTGTGTGTGTGTGCATGGCTGTGTGTGTGTGTGCATGTGCCCGTGTCTGTCTGTCTGTGCGTGTGCTTGTTTGTTTGTTTGTTTGTGTGTGTCTGTGTGTGTGTGTGTCCGTGTGTGCATGTCTGTGTGTGTGTGTGTCCGTGTGTGCATGTCTGTGTTTGTGAGTGTGTGCGCGTCTCTGTGTGTGTGTGTGTGTGTGTGTGTGTGTGTGTGTGTGTGTGTGTGTGTGTGTGTGTGTGTGTGCGTGCGCGTCTGTGTGTGTCTGTGTGTGTGTGTGTGCGTGCGCGTCTGTGTGTGTCTGTGTGTGTGTGTGTGCGTGTGTGTGTTTTCTACAGGAGTGATCCTCACAGCAGACAATCTGTTAGATGAGTTGGATAACGGTGTTCTCCTCTGTCAGCTGGCACAGCGGCTCCAAAACAAGATGATTCACTTCAACAGCAGCAAGGTGCTGATTCAGCACAAACACACGCTGAGAACATGTGTAAAACTAAACAAAATCCACTCCACGTGACCTTTCAGATTTATTTTGTCATTGTTTTAAAGATACAACCAGAATGATGCAATGAAAAAGGGGAGAAAAACTGCAGCGATTTTTTTTACATAGATACTTATCACTTTATTCTTGAAATTAAATATAATAGTTTAAAAATACAGGGCTGCACAGTGGAGCAGTGGTTAGTGCCTTTGCCTTGCAGCAAAAAAGGTTGTGGGTTTACGTCCCGGCCTGGGTTCCTTCTGCATGGAGTTTGCATGTTCTCCCTGTGCATGCGTGGGTTCTCTCCGGGTACCCTGGCTTCTTCCCACAGTCCAGAAACATGACTGCCAGGTTGGATAGTTAAAAAATACAAAAGTAAAGCAGGTTTACAGGCAGGAGCTCTGTGTGAGGAGTTGGAATATCGCAGACTTAGCATAAAAATCACAAATCTACAATTCGGTCCACTTGAGTGGAAATGGAAATAATTCACAAAAGTACAAATAAACACATCATTTAAACCAATGAAAATCATTAAGATACTAGTGGTATGTGTCCACCCTGAGAGTGGGAGGTCGGGGTTCAAACCCCAGTCGGGTCATACCAAAGACTTTAACATGGGACCCAATGCCTCCCTGCTTGACACTCAGATTTAAGGGGCTGGACGGGGTGGGGGGGATGGGGGGGGGGGGGGGGGGGGGTTAAGGCACCAAAAAGTTCCCGAGCACGGCCACAGCTGCAGCTCTCCGCTCCCCTCAGTCAGATGCAGAGGTGAATTTCACCAGTGTGTGATGATGACTTATGGGACTTTAAACTTTCACACAGTTTAAAATATACATTAAATATAATTTAAAAAAGAATATTTTTTAGGAAACGTAAAGTTTTTATGCATCTTTCCTGTTTGTTATTGTTTTATTTATTTATGAAAGCAGGACTTTGTAAAAACCCAACCCAATAAGATCTAGGTCAGCGTTGGCTCGTGTCCTCTCCAGCTTTCTTTTACTAATCCTCACTTTGCTGCAGTTGTGTTTCAACAAGTTCTCGTTCCTTTTGTCATCCTTACACACTTACGCTAATGGAGGATGCTAAAGCTAACGATGGCGTGCTCTTATTGACACACTGCTGTAATTGTAAAGACGAGTGTGTGTTTGAAGTCATCCTGCAGGTTTATGAACCAATTATCCTGTAAAAGGTGAGTCGGTGGAATCATTTCCACTGCAGACTCACTTCCTGTGTGTGATTCTGTGTTCATAACAACCACAGCCTTTTGTCCGACGAGTGATCCACTGGCGAGCTGACGCCACTTCTGGATCCTTTTTTGCCCGAGATAATACCGCCAACTTCCTCCACTGGTGTCGACGGATCGGCATTGATGATGCCCATCTTTTTGAGTCAGAGGATTTGGGTGAGTCAAGATGGAAAATTGCATCTCATATTGGTTGTTTTTAAGCCTCGACGGTTATCCTGCACTCACAAAGACCTGAAAAGGTGTTTGAAAGCAGAAGAGTTTACCTTAGGTTTTGTTGGATGATTGTTTTCCGAGAAAATTCGCAGGTGTCCTGCAAATCCAATGGGTGCAGTCAAATAGAGTGGGATGGGTTGAGGGGAGGTGATTGGCTTGGTGTTTTGTGTGTGTGTGTTGGGGGGGGGGGGGGGGGCAGCTAGGCCAGTCCACCCCTCTGCTGTTGTGTTCTTGGGCGAGACACTTAACCCCCCTTGCCTGATGGTGGTGGTCGGAGAGACTGGTGGCCTCGGTGTTTGGCAGCCTCGCCCGTGTCAGTGCGCCCCAGGGCAGCTGTGGCTACATCGTAGCTCATCCCCACCATCATGTGAATGTGTGTGTGTGTGAATGAGTGAATAACTGATTGTGTTGTGAAGCACCTTGGGGGGTTGTAGAACCCTAAGCAGGTGCTATACAAAGACCATTTTCCATTTACCACATTAAGCACAACCTTCCCCGTTCACTTTTTCTTTGGGCATGTCTGAGCAGGGCCACAGGTGCGTGAGAATGATAGTATGCAGGTAACCCCCCCCCCCCCCCACCCCCCACCCCCACCCACACACACACACACACACACACACATGCAGTGCTAATTTCACAAATGGAAGCACATTTGTTTTCTTTTCTACACAACTTAAGTTATCACAAAGTACTACAGCAACAGGCTGTAAAACTGTGGTTTTAAAAAAAAGTCCTGATTCTTACATAACCAGTCATCTACAGCAAGCACAGTGGGGCGTCAGTGAAAGGAAAACTCCTTTTTAAGGGGAAGAAACTCCAGCAGAACCAGAACCAACCCCGGGTATGGCAGAACCAAACCCAGGAGGAGTTGGCCAGTCCACATTTTTATCGAGGATAAGCAGAAAAGCCAGCAGAGTGAGTCCAGTATGTCCTCTAAACCTATAGTAGTATAGCTAAAGGGATAAGCCATGTAACCGAAACTAAACATACTAATGCATCAAACATGAGGTCTGGAAGCTGGATCCATAAGAGAGGAACCAGGGAACTGAAAGCTCCATTTTAGTTGTATATCACCACTAAGCCTGCAGCCTGAGATCTGATCGCTCTGGAGCAAAAATGTGGAAGAACAACGTCTTTAAAGGTGTGGTTCATTTATTTAATCAGTACATTTGTAGTGGTCTCTATCAGTAGTAAATGGCCTGTCAGATGCATCTGTTTCAGGAAGTACAAGTCAGCTGGTGGAGAAAGGAGCTCAAGATGGCAGGATTTGGAATCTTATTTCCTGATGTTTGGACATCTCATTTCTGATTGGCTAACAGCAACGCAACTCTACTACTGACTCTGTTTGCTCTGCAACGTTGATGTTTTATCTCCATAAATAACACAAGCCTAAATGAGTTCTGCCATGTGGTGGAGTTGCTAATGCTAACGTTGGCGTCTATTAGCCGAGACGTCCTCCGCTGTTTCCTGGACGCTAAACCAACAACAGCCTTCCCCGTCACGAGTCAAGATGGGTGAGTTCATGAATGTTAAGTGACAGTGTGACGTAGATCTGTCAGGATTTTCTAATCCTAGACTTTCATTGTCTGTTTTCTATCAGAAGTTAATGCAGGAGGTAGGTGTTGGAGACTATTTTCATGTTCAGCCTGCGTGAAAATGTCAGAGTGGCCTAAAACAATCAGAACAGTGAACCACACCTTTAAATCATCAACTAGCAGCTGCTATTTCAGTGGTTTTTTTTTACATTTTTGTAATCATTAAAAAATATCTGTCATGATTTCATTAATAGATTCAACTCTTCAAAAAGTGACTGATTCTAATCAAAAATAATCATTAAAACGGGTTTTCAGTTTTCCACACCTTTACAATAAGATCAAGCTGCCTACTAAAAATGGGCAAATAAGATCTCTCTTCCTGTCATCAAGACCTTGACAACACACACACACACACACACACACACACACCTCCACTGACAAAAGGGTAGGTGAGGTTTTTATATCTCAGCGAGGACCTGGCGCCCTCATGCCCTCAGGCCAGAGCCCACAGGAATTCCTGCTCATCTTTAAAGATAGAAAAGCACAATAGGCGGGATTTTCCGTGAAATCGGCCTTCTCTCCCACACTCTTTTGTCCAAAACTGATTTTTATCTCTGGAAACATCTTACTTTTCAGATAGTCCGTTTTCTTTTGTATTTATTTATTTTTTTAAATCCTGCTCTCTTTGTCCGTCATGCGTCTGGTGTGTGAAGTCCTTCACAAGCAGCCCAGGGAGGTGTGCCTGTGCCTGATGGAGCTAGGACGCATCGCAGCACGGTAAAACAAAATTACAGCTTCTACATTTTTTGTTTATTTATTTTTTACATAAAAAGTGTGAAGAAGTAGAAATCAGAAATAGTCTGCAATAACTTAGTGGATAACCTGCACATCCATTAAAGCTGAATGCAAGTTTAGAGCAACAACTGGTTTAAAATGTAATAAAAATTTATTGTAGTTGTGATAAACAATGAAGCAAGATTCAGAGCGAGCGCATGAGGAGCACAAGTCCTGAAAATTACATTTAATATGAAAATTTCAAAAATTAAATGTTTCTTTTAAACAAAGTCCAATTTTTATTATTTTTCTATAAACTATTTTTAAAGTATTTTGATCATTCTGGCTCTAATATTGATTTTTACTTTTACTTTAGATGTTTCTGACTTATTTGACTTCATGCAGCAGCTGGTGCTCGGACCTCTGGCTCCGAATCCCTAAACGCCGTCAGACGTTGTGCTGATGGATCTTTTGTTGCTCTTCACCATCAGGTACGGCGTGGAGCCACCGGGGCTGGTGAAGTTGGAGAAAGAGATAGAAAGGGAGGAGGCGGGGTGCTCGTCGCCATCATCTCCTCTTTCCTTTTTTCCTCCAACATCCTTGTATTCACCCCCCTTACCCCCTGCCTCCCCCTCTCCTACTTCATCCCTCTTTCCCAGCTCAACCCATCTTCCTGAACCTCTCTCCTCCTCTGTGTCCTCTGATCTTCCATCAGCCACATCAGACCCGGCTCGCACACCCTCACCCCCTCCTCAGCTCTCCCTCTCAGCCTCTAACCTTCGTACAACCACAGCTTCAACACAGACCCCTTTGTTCTCCTCATCCTCTACTACTAACACATCTGCTCCAGCTCCGACATCAGGCAAAACTCTGCTATCTGCTATCGATGTCTGCCCTGCAACAATAAACAAACCTGCAGCCACTCCTCCCATTACCTCTCAAGCTGCAACACAAACTCCACGTTTATCCAACAAATCCAAAACCCGGAGAAGTTCGAGCGCCAGCAATCTGGATGATATAGTATGCATTTCATTTCTGTTTGGCCTTCCTCTTACAGCATCTGGCTGGTTGACGCTCAGTCCTTTTAAAAATCTCTTTCAGGTGAAAAGTATGATTGAAACCCCTCCCTGCAGCTGTCCCACCAAGTTTCCTGTTGAAAGACAACCTAAAGGTTGCTACCGTGTTGGAGATAAAGTTCTGTTCATACGGGTAAGCATCCATCTAATCTTAAACCACTAATCTACACACCGCGTGTGGAGCACCGTCCCTCTGGTCAGCACCTGAACATGTGGCACATTCTATACTTAAAAGCTAGCCAGCAGGGTTTCGTGCATCATTTCCTGGTGTTATGTTCAGATCTTCGTGCATGATCTGAACTCTAAGTACTGAGAATGGCTCAGCTGCTACCACATTAAACATTAGCTAAATAGCTGATCCATTAGGTTTGAGTCAGTTCTGTGTTTCCTAAGGTTACTCATCTGCAGTGGCCGTCTTGAACCAGCTGAAATCCCAAAGTGGATCCATCCATCCAAAATGTTGAGTTTACTTAACCAAGTTGTGTCCGCTGGTTCCACTAAACCTAGCTGCCTAAACGTAAGGAGTATTAAACGTTTACTTTTAACATAATGTACATTAGTCTATGTTTAAGCAACTTGGTTTCATTTCATCAACATGTTATTTTGTTGAGTTTAGACCATTCCACTACTAAGTTCCCACCTTGAAACTGAAGGGTTGCAGGTTCATGCCTCACTCAGTCGTTGTGTCCTTGAGCATGACACAAAAAGAGCAGGTTCCCTGAGAAACTACTCTTTAATTATTATTTTAGAAAATGTTCAGTCACTCTGAGTTTAACATGCAGGCTGAATGTGAAAATAGTCTCCTACACATTAGCTTCTGATAGAAAATAGACAGTGAAATGCTAGGATCTGAAAAGCCTGACAATGTGACATCACACTGTCACTTAACATTCATGTACTCACCCATCTTGACTCGTGACAGGGAAGGCTGTTGCTGGCTTAGCATCCAGGAAACAGCAGAGAATGTCTCGGCTAGCAGAAGCTAAACATTACCATTAGCAACACCACCACACAGCAGAACTCCTCCAGGCATGTGCTATTTGTGAATAAGACATCATTGTTGTAAAGCAAATGGAGTCGGTGGTAGAGTTGTGTTTCTCCAAATATCAGGTAATAAGAGTCCAGATCCTGCCGTCTGATACTTTCTCCTCTGGCAGACTTCTACATCCTCTAACAAGTGCACCGGAGCTTTTTTTCCCAACAGAGAACAACTTACAAAGCTTACATTCCTACTGGAGACCACTGCAAATGTATTAAACTATGAGTAAAGATGACCTTTAACCCACTGTCGTGGCTACATCGTACCTCATCACCACCAGAGTGTGACTGTGTGTGTGTGTGGTGAATGACTGTTGCCTTAAAAAGTGCCCTGGGGGGTTCTAGGACTTTAGTAGGTGCTATATAGTTACATGCCATTTTCCATTATTCAGTATTTGCAAAACTGATGAATCACGGCAAGTTTTGTGTTGGCTAGTATTTGAGATTCACCAGAAACTAACCAGGAGATTGGTTTAAGTGATTTAATGACATCACCACTCGTGGGAGGGGCCAAAGGGGTCAGGTGCGGTGTGTGACGGGTGTAGTCAAGGGCAGGGACCTTGGCGGTCCGATCCTCGGCTACAGAAGCTGGCTCTTGGCACATGGAAAGTCACCTCTCTGGTGGGGAAGGAACCTGAGTTGGTGTGTGAGGTTGAGAGGTTCCGTCTAGATATAGTCGGACTCACCTCAATGCATGGCTCTGGCTCTGGAACCAGTTTCCTTGAGAGGGGTTGGACCTTCTACCACTCTGGAGTTGCTCCCACTGAGAGGGGCCGAGCAGGGGTGGGCATACTAGTTCCCCCCCATCTTGGTGCCTGTACGTTGGGGTTTACCCGAGTGAATGAGAGGGTAGCCTCCCTCCGCCTATGTGTGGGGGACGGGTTCTGACCGGTCTGTGCTTATGCACCAAACTGCAGTTCAGACTACCCACCCTTTTTGGAGACCTTGGAGGGGGTGCTGGAAAGCGCTCCTGCCGGTAACTCCCTCGTTCTGCTGGGGGACTTTAACGCTCACGTGGGCAACGGCAGTGAGACCTGGAGAGGTGTGGTTGGGAGGAACGGCCCCCCTGATCTGAATTTGAGTGGTGTTTTGTTATTGGACTTCTGTGCCAGTCATCAATTGTCCATAATGAACACCATGTTCAGACATGAAGGTGTTCATATGTTCTCTTGGCACCAGGATACCTTAGGCCACAGCTCGATGATCGACTTTGTTGTTGTTTCATCTGACCTGCGGCTGCAAGTCTTCGGCACTCGGGTGACGAGAGGGGCGGAGCTGTCAACTGACCACTACCTGGTGGTGAGTTGGCTCAGATGGTGGGGGAGGATGCCGGTCAGACCAGGCAGGCCCAAACATATTGCGAGGGTCTGCTGGGAACGTCTGGCAGAGTCTCCTGTCAGAAGGAGCTTCAGTTCCCACCTCCGACAGAACTTCCAAAATGTTCCAGGGGAGGCGGGGGACATTGAGTCTGAATCGATCCTGTTCCGTGCCTCCATTGTTGAGGCGGCCGACTGGAGCTGTGGTCGCAGGATCGTCAGTGCCTGTTGTGGTGGCAACCCCCGAACCCGCTGGTGGAAACCGACGGTTAGGGATGCTGTCAAGCTGAAGAAAGTGTCCTCTCAGGTCTTTTTGGCCTGTGGGACTCCAGAGGCAGCTGACGGGTACCGGCAGTCCAAGCGGAACGCGGCTCGGGTGGTCACCAAGGCAAAAACCCAGGCATGGGAGGAGTTGTGTGAAACCATGGAGCAAGACTTCCGTACGACTTCAAGGAGATTCTGGTCCACCATCCAGCGCCCCAAGGGGGGAAAGCAGTGTGCTACAACACTATCTATAGTGGGGACGGTGTGCTGCTGACCTCTACTCAGGACGTTGTGGATCGGTGGGCAGAATACTTCGAAGACCTCCTCAATCCCACCGACACATCTTCCAGTGAGGAAGCAGAGTCTGGGAACTTTGGATTGGCCTCTCAAATCTCTGGTGCTGAGGTCACTGAGGTGGTTAAAAAGCTCCTCTGTGGCAAGGCTCCTTGGGTGGATGATATCCGACCGGAGTTCCTTAAGGCTCTGGATGTTGTGGGGCTGTGTTGGCTGACGCTGCTCTGCAATATCGTGGACATCGGGGGCAGTCCCACTGGACTGGCAGACCGGGATGGTGGTCCCCTTATTTAAAAAGGGGGGCCACAGGGTGTGTTCCAACTACAGGGGGATCACACTCCTGAGCCTTCCTGGTAAGGTCTATTCAGGGGTTCTGGAGAGGAGGGTCCATCGGATTGTTTAACCTCAGATTCAGGAGGAGCAATGTGGTTTTCGTCCTGGCCGTGGAACACTGGACCAGCTCTGTACCCTTAGGGGGATCCTGGATGGTGCGTAGGAATTTGCCCAACCAGTTTACATGTGTTTTGTGGATTTGGAGAAGGCGTTTGACCGCGTCCCTCGGGGGACCCTGTGGGGGGCACTCTGGGAGTATGGGGTACCAGGCCCCCTGATACGGGCTGTTAGGTCCCTGTATGACCGACGTCAGAGTTTGGTCCGCATTGCTGGCAGTAAGTCGGGCTCGTTCCCAGTGAGAGTTGGACTCCGCCAAGGCTGCCCTTTGTCACCGATTCTGTTCATAACCTTTATGGACAGGATTTCTAGGCGCATCCAAGGTGTGGAGGGCATCCGCTTTGATGGCCTGAGGATCAGCTCTCTGCTTTTTGCACATGACGTGGTCCTGTTGGCTTCATCAGAACGTGATCTTCAGCTTTCGCTGGAGCGGTTCGCAGCCGAATGTGAAGCAGCTGGGATGAGAATCAGCTCCTCTAATTCTGAGACCATGGTCTTGATTCGGAAAAGGGTAGAATGCCTTCTCCATGTCAGGGATGAGGTCCTGCCCCAAGTGGAGGAGTTTAAGTGTCTTGGTGTCTTGTTCACAAGTGAGGGAAAACTGGAGTGTGAGATCGATAGGCGGATTGGTGCTGCATCTGCAGTGATGCGGGCGTTGTACCGGTCTGTAGTGGTGAAGAGAGCCGAGTCGGAAGGCGAAGTTCTCGATTTACCGGTCCATCTACGTTCCTACCCTCACCTATGGTCATGAGCTTTGGGTAGTGACCGAAAGAACGAGATCGCGGATACAAGCGGCTGAAATGAGTTTTCTCCAAAGAGTGGCTGGGCTCTCCCTTAGAGATAAGGTGAGAAGCTCAGTCATCTGGGAGGGGCTTGGAGTAGACCCGCTGCTCCGCCTGTTGAGTTGGCTCGGGCATCTGGTCAGGATGCCTCCTGGATGCCTCCCTGGTGAAGTTTTCCGGACACGTCCAACCGGGAGCAGACCTAAAGGTAGACCCAGGACACGGTGGAGGGACTATGTCTCTCACCTGGCCAGGGAACGCCTTGGGATTCCCCCGGAAGAGCTGGCTGGGGAGAGGGAAATCTGGGCCTCTTGCCTTGGGCTACTGCCCCCGCGACCCGACTCCGGAAAAGCGGAAGAAAATGGATGGATGGATGATATAATGACAATTTAAAAGTTTTACATTTAAATAAATGAATGAAGAACATCTTTTAACTTTTGTTTGCACTCTACGCATCTCCTTAGGACATAAAAATGCACTTTAATTGGTATAAACATACAGTCTTTAACTCAATCTTCACCAAACTTAATAAAAATTCCTTCCTTTTCTACCCCTAAATACAGATGTATGGTTGTGAAAAGCTGAAGATAGTTGAAAATGCAGCAGACTCACACAACGATGATTCACATCATAAGAAGTGAGCTGCGATTTCCCTCAAGTTTTAATTCAACAGTTAAGTCAGCAACAAGTGCGGCATGTGTCAGGGTGACTGATACGCCAGCGCTCAGTGCCTTTCAGCCTCCTTCAGTCATCCTCCACCCGTACATGCGTATGTGTGGAGGCTCACGAATGGGAGGCAAGGTTGCCTGGCAACCGGTGGTCAGGATAAGACTGGGCTGACAATGATTGTATTCAGAACATAGACCTTCAGCAAAGAGTACAGGTCTGGAGGAAAAACAAACGTGCCTCTGGGTGGATGCGGAGACGTGACCCTGGCGTGTGGTTTAAATGGCAACCCACCCGGGAGTCGGAGTCCACGTCTGTGTGGGGAAGCTTTCAAAAATAAAACAAGGTCTTTCTTCACCCTGTCCTCGTGCATCAGTCCACACAGAGACATGAAATGAAAGCTTCAGAAGGTTTGCTCTTTATAAAATGTAGATTGAGGTAAACTTTTCTAAACATTTGTTGTTTTGCTCAACCTCTGAAATAAAAGAGATGTTTAAAATAGGCAAACATTTTGTTATTATAATTGCTTTTTTCTTCTTGTGTGCATTTAGGAGTTAACATAGACTAGGATGATAACCTTCAGTCACACAAATGTTTCAGTTTGGGTCTCTGGTTTTAATCATTCAACACTTTTTCAAGCCAGCAGTCTGTAAACAGTTTTTTTTTCTGTTTCCATTAGAGAATAAAGCCCAGTAAGCAGGTTTCCCCAGCACTCATCTGTCAGCGACTCGTGTTTAACACCCGAGTCGCTGCTGAAGGGGAAAAAAAGGCCTTTGTTTTTGTTTTCATTGTGATATTTAAAGGATTTGTTTTGTTCTTTATCTCACCTGATTACCCATTTTTTTTGTATGCAGCCTTGCAGAAACAGCCTCTCACTGTAAGCTGTCAGGGTTTTAACCCGTAATTACCAGGATGTGGACACAAACGCGTGATTCCTGTTTTGCTGACAGACAACTACACCTCAGCTGTCTGAATAGGGCGATGTGACCCATCCACCCTGATGTCATCCATCATCTTGATCCCCACGGATCTCTACATGCGTGCAGGAAAACACGCCATAAACCTCAATTACCATAAAGATAGGCCCCTGTGCTGCTCCTGGGAGGGCAGCCGGTGTGTACAGACCTTTTAAAAGAGCAGATACTATTGATTACTGAGACAAAGTCATTAGCAGGGGGTTTAATCAGACAGCTTGTTAATGAGCGACTGAGCGTGACCGCCCCTCCTCGTGTAAACTTTACACCCAGCACCACCACCTCTGCCTTCCCCCAGCCCCCCTTCTATTCCCTCTGGAGGATATTCAATCACACCATTCGTGGAGTGCTTTCCATTCTTTGGTGCTGAAAAAGAGGAAGGCTGTCTTTTCTTCCTGAAACCAATTAGGTTCTCCATCAGCTTTGTATCGCAGTCTGATGGTGACCCGAAGAAAAGCTCATTTAAACACCTCCAAATATCATGCAAGTGCTTTTCTTTTCAAGGCTTTTAGAATCAGAAGATGTGGAGCTGAGCAAAACCGTTGAAGCATGCCTTTTTTCCTGCTTTCACTCCATCCTGTTAACATGAAACCCCTTTGTCTCGTTTCTTTATCATATTTGAGCTCTTTATTTTGTAGCTCACTGTGAATCCTGATGTTGCACTGAGAGGAGGAACATTAAATTTATATGAAAAAGGGTGGAATTTGGTAATAAAAATTAATCTAATTAATCAGAGGCTTTGTAATTCATTAATCTTGATTAATCAAGAAGGAAAAGAAAGGAAACAATCTTTTATCTAGCGCCTCTTAAGATAAAAACTGTGAGGCATGTCACAAAAAAATAAATTTAAAGTATAAAAAGATTTCTAAAATGATTAACAACATATTTTAAAGGAGAAAAGAAAAACAAATGTTGGAAGGGGAGAAAGAAAATGAATAGGAAAGAGGGAAGTCAATGGATCCCGAGAAAGGCGGAATAAGGAATGAGGAGAGGTTGGTGATGAAGGTCACACCAAAACCTGAACAGTTGAGTTTTCAGCTGCTTTTTAAAGGAGACCATTGGTCTCAGGGTCAGGGGGAGAGAGTTCCACAGTCTGGGGGCCACAGCAGCAGATGATCTGTCACCTTTGGTCTTTAGCCTGGTGCTGCACAACCAGTAGGCTTTGGTCACTGGACCTCAGGGACCTGCTGGAGATGTAGGGACTGAGAAGATCACCAATGTAAGATGGTGCTTGTCCATGTAAGGCCCTATAGACCAGAACCAGGATCTGGAAATGAACCCTGAAGTTGACTGGCAGCCAGTGAAGCTGGAGGAGAAGCGGGGTGATGTGGGTATGTTTGGAGGACTTGGTCAGAAGCCGAGCAGAAACCCGACTCCTCCACAGGAAACAGAACAATACATTACCCTCCTCGTCCTTATGCTACATTTCTGATATAACATTTTTGACTTGTGTCACAGCAGCTTGTGAGTCAGTGCATGTGGCTAAAGCCTGCCTCCTGTTGGCAAGTGTGTCCTATTCCTCAGTGCACTCATGCATATTTCAGTAGGAGCTGAGGGAAGGAATCAATGGAGCAGCCGGGGGGCGGGCATGTGGGAATTCAGACATTCGTTTAGGAGTTGTCGACATAGAACAGTTAGTATGAAAACCTGAAGGGAAGGGGGTGTGACAGAGACAAAAAGCAATGAAGGTCTGCTGCAGAAAAAGAAAAATGTCAACCAAAGAGGTTCTGCTTTCCTTTAGCTGATCCTCCGGTGAAAGACCTGACTAAAAGTCCAGGATGTAGATTTTATTGTTGACATTTATTCTGTTTGAAATTAACCTTTAGATGACCACTGAATTTCTGTGAATGAAAGCGGGTCAGATGAATATTCCTTCGGTGTGTGACAGGGAAGAGGTTTATCCGGCATGTCGGACTTGACCTCTGTCGACCTGAACATTTTAATCTGCAGGATGACAGCTGAGACGAGCCTCGTCTGGTGCTTCCTCTGTGGCCGACCCAGCCTCTGCACACGCCTGTGCTTGTACCGTCAGTTTTTTTATGCCTCTCCCATACATGCATCCTCGCTTTAGAGGAGCGGATCAGCTTGTATTAACACAATCTTAATGGTTCTGTAATGAAGGGTTTATTGCCAGTGGGGCGGGGGGGGGGGGGGGGGGGAGGCGGGGGAGGAATGCTGCCTTTGCAAGGCCTCTTGGGAATGCTCATGGCTCACTGGGAGAAGGTTTCAGCTGAACTCATCTCATTTTCTCCTCTTTTTTTAATTTTTCAAGGCTTCCTATTGTGCCGCTAGTTGCCATGGCAACAGTTTGTTTTCAGCTCTAATGACATGCGTCTATAAAAATACATCCGCAGTAAGGAGAGCTAGCATACAGTGGTCTTTTTTTAAATAAACATTTGTTTAAAGGTTTTGTGTGTGTGTGTGTGTGTGTGTGTGTGTGTGTGTGTGTGTGTGTGTGTGTGTGCATGTGCGTGTGTGCGTGTGTGTGTGTGTGTGTGTGTGTGTGTGTGTGTGTGTGTGTGTGTGTGTGTGTGTGTGTGTGTGTGTGTGTGTGTGTGTGTGTGTGGATTAGTGCAGCCTATGTGCTCAGCTGGTGCTACGAGGTGAAGTTTCATTTGGTTTAATGGGATTTTGACAAAGCAGGAGATAATTTGCCTTTCAAGCCACACATGCACAACAAGCTTGTAATTATTAGAGGTGTGTGTGTGTGTGTGTGTGCGAGAAGGTTCTTGTTCTAAGGCTCTTGTTCCAGTCATCATCTCCTCCCTGGTTTGATTGTGTTCTGTCTTCCTTTTGCAGATGTTAAATGAGCGTCATGTGATGGTGCGTGTTGGCGGAGGTTGGGAGACATTTATGTGTTACCTGCAGAAACACGATCCCTGCAGAGGAGGAGGTGTGGGGACACTGGCCAGACCTATGGTCGAGGTCTGCAGGGGCAAAGCGAGGCCATCTAGTCTCAACATCTCACCAGATAGTTACATGGTGGTCGGAGCTCATTATCGCGGGAAGAAATAGACTCCGACTGATTCTGGCTTCAGCTTAACCTGAACAAACGGAACCTAATCCGTGATTTGTAACATCCATACGAGGTTTGACAACAGATGTTTTTCATAAATCTAAAATTTTATTTATATATAAATATAAATATAAATGTTCACTTGAAGAAGTCAGAGATGATCATGGAGGCGGTAATTGTGACATAATGTATAATTTAACTACTTTGTATTTTTAACAGAAACAGATTTGAAGTATCATGCATTGATTCTTTTCATCTTTAACCTTGTTATAAATAAACTAACATTTACAAAATGCTGTTATAAAGAATAAATGGAAATATTTTGCAAGAAGTTTTATTATTGTAGTGAATCTGAGTAGGTTTTGTACCAGATGTTAATTATTGGTGGAGAGCATGAAGGATGGAAAACGTCATGTTTTGCTTCTCCTCTAGGTGGCGCCACATCCTCAATGACAAAATCGTGTGTAACCTTTGCAGTGCTCACTGATTCAAACATCCTGCTGCATCATTAGCTCGATTAAAGCAGCAACAAGACACGTTTTCAAAGATAAAAATCTTTTTAAAAGAAACCTAAGTGGTGATGATTGACATCATGATGTGTTTTTGGAGAGAAAAACTGCAGCTAAAGGAAAGAAAATGGAACCACTGCAAATCTTAACAATCACATATTTTATTTCATTAAAATAAATTAATTAAAAATGGACATATATTTTAGTTTAAATATTTTTGATATATTTAAAGAAACTAATGAAATCATGCAAGATCGTTTTTAGGCCCACACAACATCTGAAGTGGATGCACTTATAGAAAAATGATGTTTAGAAAAGAAAAGGCTGTGCTACTGAAACAGGAGCCCCACCAAACTGTGGTGTTTTAATCAGTTGACTCGAACACGGGTAGGTACCACTTTTGAAAAGGTTTTGAAATGTTCTGCTACTGTGTGCTACTCTTCTCCGCCGAGCCACAGCTGCAAGTTGCCGTTTTTTGGAATTGACTTGTTTTGTGGCTGTTTTTGGATGAAAACCTGTGCTGTAATACTTTCAGACGGCACATCTGAATAAAACCAACTCTGGAAAGGTTTGATTCTCTGGCCGGCGACACACAAAAACTTTGCAAGAGTCACGTGAAAATGTCAGTCAGTACTTATACATTACAGTTTACTGCTTTTAACATTAAGTTGGATGAGTTTGTGTGAATTCAAACTGTGGAAAACTCAAATTAGCAAACTTCTCTGTCTTCCCCAACAACCATAAGAGCCCTATACTCATTAATTATATATATATATATATATAATGATATATATATATATATATATATAATGATATATATATATATATATATAATGATATATATATATAATGATATATATATATAATGATATATATATATATATATATATATGTATATATAATGATATATATATATATATATATATATATAATGATATATATATATATATATATATATATATAATGATATATATATATATATATATATATAATGATATATATATATATATATATATATATATATATAATGATATATATATATATATATATATATATATATAATGATATATATATATATATATATATATATATATATATATATATAATGATATATATATATATATATATATATATATATATATATATATATATATATATATATATATATATATATATATATAATGATATATATATATATATATATATATAATGATATATATATATATATATATATATATATATATATATATATATATATATATATATATATATATATATATATATATATATATATATATATATATATATATATATATATATATATATATATATATATGATATATATATATATATATATATATAATTTGAAGCCAACATCTTTGCCAAGGACACAGCGTGAAGCTTGTTGCATGCTCTGATCATCTTTGGTTGACAACTCCAACCTCACTTTGTTTCCAGACCCCAAAGAGACAAACTTTACGTTTCATTGATTTTCCCTGACTGATGGTGAAAGAACTGAGCATCACAAAAGTGTTGGGAAACACACAAGGAAACCATATCTTTTTCTATGAAAGCTGGTAGAACCTTCATGATTCCCACCAGATGGTCAACACTTGTAGCAACATCATCACACATGGCTGTATTGTTCCTTTGTCATGAACTGGTGTTGTGTTGTCATTTACAAAAATAAAGTCGCCCTGTTTGCTGAGGGATGAGCGAAGCACAGGGGGAAAAAACCCATTTGATGCAAACTCAAAAACATAAATGTCACCAAATAATTTGATTCGTACTTTTAGAACCGTTTACGTTGTTCGCTTCCATATATGGTTCAGAACTAAACTTATTTAGACAGACTTTAAATGTTCTTTGCCTAAAACCATCATATGAAAGCCTTCCCTGAACAGCCGTCATTAGGAAAAAAAACATTTAGGATTAGGAATAGGGTTAGGGTTAGCCAGTCTGATCACAGCCAAAACCAAAGTGTGAGCTAGCCTTTCCACCGGATGCATAAGCCACTTCTTTGTCAGCTCCACGAGGAAGAAACTCACGCGCATTGACTGAGAAGTTTAACTTTCTGACTTCTCCACCACCTGCGGAGCGTTGCAAAGCAATTCCCCGCCAGGACAACAGAGGGCGTAGCGCTTGTCTGAGGTATCCTGCCACTGGTCCACAATAGTGTATATACTATTGTGTTTACATTGTTTCAGTGTATTTCAGAGGCTTTCTAACATGGACAGATTTGTCCCTCATCCCTCTCCACTTCTTAAAGTTAAAGTTAAAGTCCCTTTAGTTGTCACACACACTGATGTGTGTGCGACATTTGTTCTCCGCATTTGACCCATCCCCTGGGGGAGTGGTGAGCTGCAGACACAGCCACGTTCGGGAACCATTTGGTGGTTTAACCCCTCAATCCAACCCCTTAATGCTGAGTGTCAAGCAGGGAGGCATTGGGTCCCATTTTTTCAAAGTCTCTGGTATGACCCGACCAGGAATCGAACCCTGATCTCCCAGTCTCAGGGCGGACACTCTACCACTAGGCCACTGAGCTTTACTTTGTAAAGTACCATTGTGGTACCATTGGTACTACAATGGTACTTTACATTGTACTTTCCTTTAGATCAGCACTGAGCTCTTCATGCGATGGGCACCTCTAAACCCACATTTCCCATCATTTCCGTTAATGAATTAAATGCTTGCTGCATATCTTTGTACTCCATTAGCAACTGGTAGATAAAAATCCATTTTTCAGACTTTTACCACAAAGTGTTCTTCAAACTGTTCCATGTATGCCACTAAACATCTTTTTGGAGGGGGCAATGGTGGTGATGTTGAAAAATTTAAAGGAAGCAGTGTCCTGACCAATCACAAGCTTGCAGTCTCCATCACCGTCTGCGAGTCCATCGGAGAGCTCTTGCGCCGACGCATGGCGTTGCGTGTCTTCGTACCGACGCAGATGGAGAAGTATAAATTTGGCTTAAGCCCTTTCTACTGGGAGAGTTTTAGATGCGAGGTGGCAAAAGCGTGGTGGACGCTGGCGCATGAAATGACAGCAGAATTGCAAGACTATGTGTGAAATTGCCAGGTCACGCAAAAACAAGCAAGGAAAAAGACGGCAGCATGTCTCCAAAAGTTTGTGGTGTGTTGTGGTTCTACGTTTTACTAGTTAAGCAAAAGGAAATTTGCATGTGATGCAACGCGACAGAACGCTTCTGCTCTACGGAAGCATAGAGCGACCACATTAGAGCGATATCACGTAATAACATCCTAACTTTATTTTTCCAACAATTTAACTTTCACGTTTGTACAATATAAATATTATATTGTATCCATCCCAAATGCAACAGTTTGTGGCTGGTGGTAACGCACACATCCACTAAAACAGCAGCTAATTGCTGCGTACTACGCTTCACCAATGTTACGCATGGAGTATGCCTTCGGTGGAAAGACTTACAAAAACACTAATCTTAAAAGTTTCATAGAAGTTCAGACAAATGTTTTATAATGTCCATCAACTCAAGTTTGCATTTCACTGTGTGGCAGGAAGGTGTAGCTCTTCTGGTGCATCAGGTGATTAGGTCCATAGAAACTGACTTCCAAAATAAGAAAGTGATGTAATAGTTTCTAAAAAAAAAAAAAAGTTGTGCCTAAACTGCCGCAAAATTTGAAATATTGGAACTTTTTTTAAGACAGTGGAAACAAGCTTTGGTTTTGGCTGTTCTTAAACTAGCTGTTAGCTTATCAGTCCAACCTGAGGCCATTCAGAATGACCACCACAAGTAAGACATTATTTTTTACACAAAACACTTAAAATGCTCAAATTTACCTTTAGTCTATTTCAACGCCAATGTTTTATTTAATTTTAATTTAAATAAATGAAATAATAAATAACTGTCTTTATCTATTATTGTGCTGTTGCCTAACTTACCAAAGTAACTCCCAAAATGTTCTCCAAACATTCTGTTTGCATACACTTACAAAAAAATGACCAAAAAAAAGCAACCGATCACTTTAAGGAGATGTTTTTACATTTAAATTTGAAAGATAAAATAAAATGTTAATTAAATGCATCATAATTATGCGCTGTCAGAATGCGTAGCAACATTACTGTTTGGGTATTTCCCCCAACACCAGGTCTATGTCTACAATTAAACCACCAAAGTGTAATTAAATCTAGCACATTGTACTTTCCTTTAGATCAGCACTCAATCAGTTTGTATTTCTTGGTATAAAACAGGGTTTAAAGATCAAAAGGTTAAAAATTGTTAACAGGTAAACAGCCTCAAGTGTGTTTTCTAGATGAATAACTACATTTCTGTTTTTGTGCCACTTAATACTCATAAAAAACACATTAAAATTAAATGTTTAATAAGGTTTTAATTACGATTATCATCTACGTCTTCCATCTTTTATGTGTATAATCACATGTTTAACAGTATATGAAGATATTGTGTTTTAATGTCTGATGTTGCAACAACACTGTAACAATGGCTTTATTTTTTTTTATTGAATGCCCAGTACAAAAATGCTGACGGACGTTGAAGAAAATCAAAATAAATACTTATTCTGTAGTTTGGTTTCATTGATTCACTCTCGGGTTTTGTTTAAGCTGCCAGCAGACAACTGGGTCATCAGTAAAGGTGTGGATCACTAGAATACATTTGCAGTGGTCTCTAGTTGGAACGAATACCTTGTAACGCTTACTCTGGGGAAACAAAGCACTGGTGCATCTTTTTCAGGAAATAGAAATCATAGCTGAGCTTCAGACGACAGGATTTGGAGTCTTACATCCTGACATTTGGACATCTCTCCTCTGATTGGCTAACAGCAACGCAACTCTACTGACTCTGTTCGCTCTGCAACGTTGCTGTTTGATCTCCACAGATAACCACAAGCTTGGAGGAGTTCTGCTGTGTGGTAGAGTTGCTAATGCTAACAGTTAGCTTCTACTAGCCAAGAAGTCCTCTGATGTTTCCTGGACGCTAAACCAACAACAGCCTTCCCCGTTGTGAGCGTCCATGAATGTTAAGTGACAGTGTGACGTAGATCTGTTAGGATTTTCTAATCCTAGAGTGTCACCGTCTGTTTTCTATCAGAAGCTAATGCAGGAGATAGGTGTAGGAGACTATTTTCATGTTCAGCCTGCATGAAAATCTCAGAGTGACCTATAGCAATCAGAGCAGTGAACCACACCTTTAAATCACCAACTAGCAGCTGCTGTTTCAGTGCTTTTTTTATATTTTTGTAATCATTAAAAAATGTCTATGATGATTTCATTAATAGATTCAACTCTTCAACCCACTTAAATCAGACAAATATTTTAAAAAAAATCTACATTTTACAAATAATGATTTAATTCTACTTGATGTAACATTTTATAAGAATACTTTTGTGTATTTGTAATCCTGCTGGGTCCATCAGACGCTGCAGACATATTTGGAGTAGTTTATCACATCCGGCCGTCTGATTTATGCAATGAAACATCACTGCTAGCATTTTCTTTTTCTTTAAATTTACAAACAGTAAACACACATCTTCAAAAATCCAGACAGGATGCTCTAAAACTGATTTTCTTGTGTTTGTGTTCTCAAGGTTAATCCAGAGGAATCAAGCTTTTGTGTAAAAGCTGATATGTGTGTTTCCTTAATAGGAGTGTGAGTGGCTTTATGTTTTTCAAAGAGCACCTTTTTAAGACAAATTCTCCTCAGAGAAAACAGTCACCATTAGATCGCCACAAACTCTCAGGAGTCGAAACACAAAAACAAACAAATGTCCACGTTGTGCTATCGATCGTCAGTCATTTGCTGCTGTACAGGTTGCTCGTCCCCCAGCTCCATCAAAAATATTCAATGTGTGAAATTTGTTGTTATTTTTCTGCTTCTATCACAACTTAGGCACACGGCACACTGACGGAGGATGGCGATGTTGGGGGTGCTGTGACGTGGTAGTAATTAGACTAAAACTGTCTCAGAGTTAAACATCAAGTTGGAAGGGTGCGGCTTGTGTGTCTGGTGAGTTGGCTGACTCCTTCGTCACACGGTTCCGTTCTCCTGCCTCGGTTTGTGGGTTGTCGTGCGGGCAGGTGTGCTCAGGGAGGGAGCCAAGGTGCAGAGGAAGCCAGCCAGCAAGGTGAGACCGAGTCCCCCCCAGGCACAGAACATGGACCAGCCATAGCCATGGCTAATGTCTTCTGGGAGGCCGTACATGTAGCGCGGGTAGCGGGACAACTCAAAGTTGATTCCTGCCACGCATGTGCAGAGGGAGATGATGCAACATGTTCCTGTGTGAGCAGAAGATACCACAGGATCAACTGGTAAATCCTGAAATGTGCTGTACATCTTAGAGACAAGTTAGTGCAAGGCAATGATTTGCTCTCTCATGTTAATATGTGCCCTCAGCTGCAGTGGTGCCCCCAAGGGGTGGCCAGGGGTGGCCATGGAATCTTATTTCCTGATATTTGGACATCTTGCCTCTGCCTGGTTAACAGCAATGACTCTGTTCGCTCTGCAACATGGATGTTTTATCTCCACAAATGACACAAGCCTGGAGGAGTTCTGCCATGTTGCAGATTTTCTAATGCTAACGGTTAGCTTCTAGTAGCCAAGACGTTCTCTGCTCACTATTGGAGGCTCAATCAACAAAGCTTTCCCTGTTGCAAGCCAAGATGGGTGAGCCCATGAAGTTTAACTTGACGTTATGACTTGAAAATGTCACTGGCCTTTCTCGTCCAAGCGTTTTTCGTCTGTTTTCTATTGGCGCAAAATGCAGGAAAAAAGGAAAGAAAACTATCTCCACATTCAGCCTGCATGTTAAACTAACAGTGACTGATTATGTTTCAAAAAGAACAAGTAAAAATGGTGAACTTTGTCTTCAAAAAAACAAGAATGAAGGAGCAATGCAATGCGCAGCTAGCTAAAGGCTAAATGCTCCCAGAGGTACTAGGGCCAAATTGTGCGCCGTCCAAAATATGTGGCCATCCCTATGAACATTTTCTAGGGGAGCCACTGCTCAGCTCTCACTGTGTAAACACAGTAATTGACTAAATTTAATTTGTGTGCTTGCATGTTGACGTGTACTTTCACAGTACCTCCCATGAGAAAGAGTAGCCCAGCTACATACTGCATGAGGTCATGCTGCTGGCAGCACCCCAACACTCCAATGACCCAGCCAAACAGAATGATGGACACGGCCATGCCCACGAAGCCAGCCGTCATTCTTCTCAGATCTGCAGACAGAGTCAGAAATGTCACCGAGTGAGCTGTGAGTTAAAAGTGCAGAACCATGAAACTGAAAATCTCAGTCTGTGGATTAGAATAACTCAATAACTCAGATTTCTGTGAAGGAACAAACACAACATGAGTCATTAAGATAAATGCTCTAAGCTCAGAAGCTCTGATTGTTCATGAATAAATGACATGGAAATGTTCTAAAGCTCAGAGTCATTTGAGAGGGCAGTAATTATCAGTTCCTGTTCCTGGGGACAACTTCAGAGTAACATCAGCTTTGATCCTGCTCAGGTCTCCTACGAAGAAAGTCAAATGTATGAGATTTCCACAGTGATCATGCACCAGTGTGTTTTTATTTTAATTTTTTTACTTTAATTTTTAATATCCGAGTGCATTGACCGGTGGACATGTACAATCTTCACAGCAGGTTAGTTTTCCATCATGAGTTGCCATGGTAACAAACCCAGGTAAAAAGTGAACCAGCAGAGTGATGGTGGAAATCTCAAACTAAACTTCAATTTTTAAACACGTTGCCAAGTCGTCACCATCATCATCATCATCATCATCATCATCATCATCATCATCACCACCTTATCTTGATAATGACCCGCCTTATAAAGTAAGAGAACTCCAAAGCGCTTTACACTACAGTGTATCATTCATCCATTCAAACACACACTCATGCACTGATTGTGATACACTATAATTTAGCCACAGCTGCCCTGGGCCACACTGACAGAGGCAAAGCTTCCAAGCACAGGCACCATCAGTCCCTCCGACCACCACCAGCAGGCAAGGTGGGTTAAGTCTCTTGCCCAAAGACATTACAGCTGAGTTCTCTGTCGAGAGCCGGGATCAAACATGCAACCTTCCAGTTAGTGGACAACCCACTCTGCCTCCTGGGCTACTGCTGCCCCATCATCACCATCATCAGCTTCATCATTATTATCCTCTTAATCACCACCACCACCACCATCATCATCATCATCATCACCACCACTACCATCATAACATCATCATCCTCATCAATGTTATCCTCTCATCATCATCAACACCATCATCCAGAGTTCTCTCTGTAGTTATGCTGCTATAGGCTTAGACTGCTGGAGGACATACTGACCACTTTCCACTCTTCTTCTTTCTTCTACCACTTCTCTCTAATTGCATCATTTCCTGCCATTTTTGCTCCTAACTTTATTTTCCCTTAAGTGTTTTTCTCCCCAGAAGAAGCTACAGTGGTGTTCCGCATCAGCTAGCAAACTGTTGCTAACCCCTCAACATTCTCCATCTCCTGATAATAACATTTTACTGTTGAATTAATTAACCATTCACTAAAGTTTATCTCTTTCTACATAGAATATTTAAGCCTAGTCTTAAATGTAGACAAAGTGTCTGCCTCACGGACTAAAGCTGGAAGCTAGTTCCGCAGGAGAGGAGCCTGATAGCTAAAAGATCTGCCTCCCATCCAATTTTTTAGATATTCTGGGAACCACCAGTAAACCTGCAGTCTGAGAGCGAAGTGCTTGGTTAGGAACGTATGGAACAATCAGATCACTGATGTGTGATGGAGCTTGATTATTAAGAGCTTTATATGTGAGGAAGGGGATCTTAAAATCTATTCTGAATTTAACAGGTAGCCAATGTAGGGAAGCTAAGACAGGAGAGATATAATCTCTCTTTTTAATTCTCATCAGAACTCTAGCTGCAGCATTTTGGACAAGCTGAAGACTTTTAACTACATTCTGTGGACTTCCTGAGAGTAATGAATTACAGTAATCCAGTCTTGATGTAATAAATGCATGAACTAGTTTTTCAGCATTGCTCCTGGAAAGAATGTTTCTAATCTTAGCAATATTCCGAAGGTGGAAGAAGGAAATCCTACAAACCTGTTTGTATGATTCTCATCATCATCATCATTGCCATCTTCATCATCGTCATCACCACCAACATTATCATCAGTTTCACCATCATCCTCATCATCTCTAGGCTTATTTTATTGTTTATTTAAGCTTTATTGCCTAATTATTATTTTGTGCCTTTGCACAAACAGCTTCCCATTGTCTCTTGTTTAGTGTCACACACTCTCAGTGTGTCAGGGGCACCATAAGCCAAGATAATAACCTGCAGAGATTGCATCACCCATATGCACCCGTTATGTCATTTAATGGTGTGCACGCTGTCGTGCATCATGCATGAATCTACAAAGATCCAGTCAGATTGAAGTGCTCAGTTCTGCTTATTTTTCTGGATGAAGTCACTGTTTATTGTTTCAGACTGGCCAAGTGAGAAAATTTTCAGCAAAAGTAGAATCTCATCTAGCAGTTTGTTTATCCAGTAAATAAAAATGTAATTTGCAAAGTTAATACAGCAATAAATCTCCTAGTCACACAGTGCTAAGGACACCTCACTACCACAGGGACATTTACTAAACAAACACATTCAAGGTTTAAAATATTTCATGATTATTTTTTGACAAATGAAGCCAAGTTCAACCTCTAACAATTTGAATAAGTAATAAATATGTAGATAAGTTAATCTGTGAATCGTGAGAGAAACACAGTGATATGAACAGGGACGGTTCCCTTTAACGCTCAGCCAGCACAGGTTATTGATTATGTGACAGAAGAGCAAAGCATGAATTTTTAATACTATAGTGATGAATTGTAGCCTCATATTCACCAAATGGAGCAAAAGCGTGATTAGACAAGTGTTAGTAAAAGTGAAGGAACTGTAACGCAGCAAAAGCATCATTCCTCGTCGAATATTGGTCCAGGTAATTTCTCTAGTTGAAGACCAAAGTAAAACCAATCAATCAATGAAAAATGTATTTGTAAAAGCAAACGATCACATTAATGAACTGCTGCTATTAAAAAAAATCTGAAATTGTGACACCTTTGCAACTATAGGACCATCCAGTTGTTGGTCTCGTCGAACCCCCTCCACTCATTACACCCTCACGTGTTTAGCAACAGAACACCACTGGTGTGTGAGGTTCTCTGCTAAATAACATCAGAGAAGGAGAAACAGCCGGCTGCTACCACTTCAACTTTAAGGCAAACTACCAGAGTCCCAAAAATAAAAAATAAAACATCACTTGAAGTCACAGACAACAAAGACGTTTGGACCTAGAAAACAGAATCATTAGAAAAGTTCAGACTTACGGAGTGCATGCCACTCATCCTGGCGTATGGTCTTTGTGATGTTGACGGGTAAATTTCGTGGAAGGATGGACGAGGAATAGTGGTACTTGACAGGAGTACATCTTTGAATTATTCCTGTTGAAAACAGAAAAATTAAGACACTTTAATCTGGAGCAGGAATCTCAGTGGAGGGAAAGCTGAATTTTAAAGCTTTTTCCCCTCCTTTGGGTTTATTAGATGATGGCAGGCAGCATCAGTTCACATTTTCTGATCAGGCTCCAAAAATGTTGTTGTTCTCACTAAAATTAAAAAGAAATCTTATGGAGGAATTAAAAATTATAACACCATTTTGATCCCTGGATCCAAACTCTGTAATCTAGCTCCATCAACTGTTTCTGTCATTTAATTAGCAAAGCAACAATTTTAATCATTTAAATAAAGTCTGAGTCAGTTTGACAACCACTCTAGAGTAGCTGGTGTTTAGTTTTTAATCCTCATTTATGATCTTCATGTGGCCTGAAAATAAACTGACAGCCATTGAGCCAAATACGTGGAGCTGTTTTTACCTGGAGCAAACAGAAGAGCACACATCACTCCTATTCTAATGTCTCTGCACTGGTTACCCATTAGCTTTAGAGTTCATTTCAGAATCCTGACTATAACTTTCAGGGCTCTACATGGTGTAATGTCCGGTAATGGTCAGTTTTTAAGTGCAGTTTGACCCTTCGATATCTGGTCGACATGGAGACACGAGTCTGCGTGTGTTTCCTTTAATCTGCCGGATCCTGCATCCCATCAGCTGGCTCAGAGTCTTTCTGCAGCTCTGAACACATGATAGCGTATTGTCAACAATCATGTTTCCCCCTCAAGGCCCAAGCTTCCCTTATCGTTCTGCAGGACTCTTCAAGCCTACGAATGAAGTGAACACTCTCAGCTCGGATTAGTTGCTTAATCAAAGAATGAACTCTTAAATATAATGTGAACATTTAAAACTTAAAGGTTAATTAGTCATTAAAAATAATTTGGTTGATGAACAAATGTTATATGAACACTAAATGAAATGTTTTGATTAATCTGTGAAATGAATTGAATATATATGGCTCAGTCATGTTTTGATATGACAAGGCCATCACCATCTACACTCACACAAGGTTCATCGAGGACAAAGTAAAGTTAAGTCAAACGCGTGACGCATAGATATTTTCTTACCCATGAATCAGAACTTCTGTATCTGAAAGAAGGTGTGTGTTTCTGAGATTCTTGGTAATATCCCTTAACATGGCATGCTCCGATTTGTTAAGAGATTAATATGACGTCTCCTGACGAACCCATGCAGTTGGGACACCTGAACCCAGAGGAGAGAGAGAGAGAGATGCTACAGAGTGGGTCTGTACGCCAACTGTGGGGCTCCTGGTCATCGGTGCGTAATCTGCCCCCTGAATCTTTAAGTAGGCGGATTGGTGTTGCGTCTGCAGTCTGCTGTACCGGTCTGTCGTGGGTGATGAGAGAGCTGAGCCTGAAGACAAAGCCCTCGATTTACCAGTGGATCTACGTTGCTGCTCTCACCTATGGTCACAAGCTTTGGGTAGTGACTGAAAGAACAAGATAGCGGATACAAGCGGCCAAAATGAGTTTTTTCCGCAGGGTGGCTGGGCTCTCCCTTAGAGCTAGGGTGAGAAGCTTGGTCATCCGGGAGGGGCTCGGAGTAGATCCACTGCTCCTCCACATCCAGAGGAGCCAGTTGAGGTGGCTTGGGCATCTGATCAGGATGCCTCCCTGGTGAGGTTTTCCGGGCACGTCGAGTGGGGAGGACACCCAAGGGAAGACTCAGGACACGCTGGAAAGACTCTGCTGGCCAGGGAACACCTTGGGATTCCCCCGGAAGAACTGGCCCAAGTAGCTGGGGAGAGGGAAGTCTGGGCAACTTGGCTTAGGCTGCTGCCCCCACGACCCGGCTCTGGATAAGCAGCTGAAAATGGATGGATGGCTCTTTAACTCATTAACTACCATTGACTTCTAAAGTCGTCATTTGCATATTTTATTGTGTGGGCATCGGAACGAGCCCCCGCGCCGAGAGAACAAACATCTCCTCTCTAAAGCCGGTCTTCATCTGCGAACGTCACAGGTCACATGATCAGGAAGCAGAAAATCCATGTTAGGAGATCGTTTTGGGCCGCTGCTGTAAAAAAACTAAGTGAGGCTCGAACCAGAAAAGCTTCTGCCGATCACAATTCGACAATAAATTATGAAAGAACGGATAATGCTCAAAACGCGTGGATTCTTCCTGATGTAAGAGGTGAGTCCACTCTTTGTTTCGGTAGTTGTGGCGTTGGCATCATCGTAGAGCACAACGTTCTGTGACTCTTATAAAAACAGTAAAAACACTGAAAAACGCTGGCAGTGAATAAGTTAAGTAAATACATCAAAATATGACTTAAATTATTTTCTGATTTGTACTTTTATTCTAATACATTTTCTAAAAGTTTTAATTTGTCTTTTGTCCGACCCCCACCCCTGGTCCATTGGAGACCGTCAGTACACTTTCTTGACTGCTATTCCAAAGGTAATAACACTTTAGTTGGTGTTTTGCCCCCATCGCAAGGCAAACAGAGTCAGTGGTAGAGTGTTGTCGTTTTGGCCCAATCACAGGTGAGATGCACAAATATCAAGAAATAAGGCTTCAAATCCTGTCATCTGATGCTACTTCCTCCTCTGGCTGAATTCTCTGTGCTGAAACAGGCACATGAGCTTTTGTTGCCCTCTGAGAACAGCTTATAAGGCATTCATTCCTGCTAGAGACCAATGCAAATGTAATAAAAATACAAGTGAAGCCCCTCTTTAATGGTCATTTATGAAAACGTTTTCTTGCCCGTTAGCTGACATCATTGCGTTTTAACCATAAAGGAAGCAGAATTCCAATAAACCTTTGAACCTTTGTTTGGACACATGTGTGCAATAGAACTTATATTTATTTTGATGATTCCTGATCATAAACATGCAGCAGAACAGAACAACTCATGGAAAACAGAAAACTCCCAGATGTAACAAAGGTGCTTTGTACCCAGAGTCCATTAAGAATAATCAGTGCAAAAAGGAATTCATAAACAGAATCAAGCTGCTCGGTCTACATTTGCACTGGAGAGGAAACTAAATATGAATCTGAGTGAAATATGATCCCCAGAGTCAAACAGCCATCTAAACCGTATAATAAATGTTTGACTTGACTAAATACAACATTTACTTTCTGGGCCATTAAAGCCACATAAAATACACTATTATTATATTTGCAAATGAGGCTAAATCTAATATGCAGCTCCCTTCTGGCTGCTTTAAATTCTGTATAATAAAGAAATGAAGCAAAGAAAAATATTAGCCAAACTTCCCAAAAGCAAGTGCATGTGTAGAGAAGGGTGCAGAGCAGCATTATGCATAAAGGAAGAGGAATGATCAGTCACTCTGAATGAGATTCTGGAAGAGTTGGTTAACATTATTGAGCTATTTGAGCTCAACTGATCAATTGTGTTTCAGCACCTAAAAAACACACCAAACCCCCTCACTCAGCCATGGTGGACACCCAGAGAGGGGCAGAGTTTTGTGAAGGTGCTCTGATTTAGCTTCCTGATCCAAACCAGGACCCAGCCGAGGCCGGAATGGAGCATTTAGGAACCATGTTTACTTTAAAAACAGAACCAGGTTCTGTTTACTTATAAAATGTTGTGTCTTAAAGTAAGACCCTGGGTGATTTGTTGTGAATGATGCTGAGTTTTAAAAAATGTAGCGTTTCAGCACCATGGACAGCAACTCTCATCAATAAGGAAACGGCCTCTGGTGTGTGTGTGTGTGTGTGTGTGTGTGTGTGTGTGTGTGTGTGTGTGTGTGTGTGTGTGTGTGTGTGTGTGTGTGTGTGTGTGTGTGTGTGTGTGTGTGTGTGTGTGTGTGTGTCACCACGGCCTGGCGCTCTCAGCTGTACCTTTGTATATCAGGTCCTCGGTATCCAGGTCGAAGCCTTGCCGGTGACACTTCCTCCAGAGCCCGGACACGGTGGAGTTGAACTGCCGGCTGCAGTGGGACTCCATCGCCGACGCGATGGCGTCCCTCCCGTAGAAGTGGCGCTTCCAGCCGATGAGAGGAGCAACATCCGGGCCGCCGCCTCTCCGCTCCTGGCTCTTTGGAGGCATCTGGAGGGGGAGGTTGTGGTTTGAGATGTAGCCGTAACCGGGGTCGTTAGGCTTGTTGGGCTTGTTGCCATAGTTCTTACACCTCTCCCGGTGCTTCCTCGCGTCTGTTTCGTACCAATAGTCGGTGCAGATCGCCATGGCGAGAAGCCCCAGCGCACAGAAAGCCAAGAAGAGCCCTGCGCTGGTTAATATTTTCATAGCGGCCATCTTCCTCGCTCGATGGAGAGCCCAGAACAGTCACAAGAAGGTTCCTCCCGTGGCCGTGGAGGTGCTGGGACCGCGTGAAATAATCCACGTCGGCACACCTCAGAGCTGTCCGCAGTCCTGCCCCGGCAGCATGGTGGTGCGAGGCCCGCGTCGTGTGCACCGGATGCTGCGGTCTATTGTTGTAGTACCCGGTGGATGCTGTGTTGTTCCCACCATCTGTTATGGTACAGGAGGAGGAGGAGAGGGGATGGATGGCGACCAACGCTGTGAGGAGGAGGCAGGGGCAGTGATGTAGTTGCGCTGTCTCTCCGGGTTGCTGCGGGATGCGGAGCAGATCTGCTCCGTCTGAGGGGGAGAGGAGGGCATTTGGTATGCTTCAGCGAGCACCTCCTTTTGCTGTCAGTAAGAAACGCGCTGGAGAAATCTTACTGAATGCAATTATGCATTTTATCCTAATAAAACGGCATTTCACACTGAAACATCAAGGATGGACAAAAGTCAGTTTTACTGTTTATGCAGGAAACATTCAAACGTTTTATTTAAAAAATCTCTGAACAACAAAAGCTAAAGGATATCAAATGTGTAGCAAATTGTGAATACATAATAGAAAAACTTAAGTTAGAGATCAACTGAAGGATCCTGCATTCTCAAATAAAAATGGAAACTTAAAGACTTATTAAAATAAGTGCATGAGGTGCTGATTTTATGAAAAACTAAGCCTTTTTGAGCAACTTAGACTTTAAATAATCGTATTTTTTTGAACCCAACCCATTAAAGGAACATTTGGAAGGTGATATCTAAAGATAAACCTATAATGTTTCAGTATTTAGCCAACATCCAATATTAAGCTGCAATAACATAGAACTAGCTTGCCAACACAAAAAAGGTGCAAAAAATTCCCTTTGATGATAAATGATCCATGGTTGAATTCACTCAAGTCACCACAGGGAATCAGAGACCTCAGACAGGAGATGTCTTCACAACCTATTTTCATAGCTTACTTCTGTTTTACTTCTCTCTGAATTTGAATTTTAAAACTAAGTTAAAAACTGTCAAATCTATAATTTAGATTTTACGTAAATATACACTTAGAATACAAAAGTTCATTTATTCCAGTAATTCAACTTAAAAGGTGAAACTAAAATGTGAGATAGATTCATTACATGCAAAGCCAGATTTTATGGCTTACAGCTGCTGAAAACCCCAAATTCTATATCTCAGAATATTTTGAAAGGGTTCAATAAACTCTCATCAGCTAATGAATCCTAAACACTCACAAAGGGTTCCTTTAAAGCTGAGTCAGGTAAATCCTGGTCCTGGAGGACCAGCATCTAGCATGTTTTAGTTGTTTCTCCTCACTTGCTTCAGTGGTTAAATCACCTGCTCACTGATGGAACAGGGAAACATCTAAAACATGCTGAATATGGCCCCCCAGGACAAGTACAGAGCACCCGCTGCTTTAGTTGGTCTCAGTCTGAATAATTTAAATAAATAGACGTTTGCACACATTCCGCCTGTGTGTACTAACCTCTGGATCATTTGATTTAGTGAAACATTTAAATATATTTGTAGAAAAGCACACTTAGGTGCTTGTGTCTTTGTATCTGCACTGCCCATTGTGCCATTATTAATTAAGTAACCAGAAGGTCATTGGCACGTGTACACATCATGCAGGGCTGAATCCAGGGTAAAGTTAACTTGCTCTCACGTGTCTTGCTCCATAACAACAAGCTTTCTGACGCTGAGAGGGCGTGTTCTGATGTTTTGTTAAAACCAAAATCTCCGCAGCTCAAGTCCATTTCTTGAACCAACCAGAGGTCGAGGGTCGGACGCCTAAACCTAACTAAGCTGTTCTGTCACGCCGATAGAATTGCTCCGAATAAACGCACCTGTAACCAGCTGATCCAAAACTCCTTCAGAGTTATTGATTTTGAGACGCAAATAGTTTCTTCAGTCGTTGTGACCCGGAGACATCTCGGGACCGATTTGAGTCGCACTAAGGTCCTTCTACCAACCTCGTGCTCGGAGGAAACCATCTCCACCTGACATCTCGGATCCACAGAGGGTCTCCTGAACTGGGTGAGGTAGACACCTTCCGACATCGTTTTGCTGACGATTGCCAGATTTACTCTCCATTGTGTCAGGAGAAAGGTCACTATCCAGTCCTTTGTGTCCTGTATTAATGAGGTGAAGTCTTGGCTAATGGCCAACTACCTACATCTGAATGAGGGAAAGACAGAGCTCATTGTTTTTCACCCCAACAGCAGGAATGTGGATCGTTATGTTGATCTTGGGCCTCTTTCTCCATACTCAAAACCAGTTGTTACCAGTTTGGGGGGTGAAACTTGATGCAGGACTTAAATTTGATGCTCACATCAATTCTGTGATCCGGTCCCGTTTCTTTCACCTGAGACGCCTTGTAAAAATCAAGCATATGCTGTCGAGAGCCCACCTGGAGCGGGTACTGCATGCCTTTGTAATTTCTCGGCTTGACTACTGCAACTCTCTCTATGCAGGGTTGTGTCAGTCAACACTGCGTCGCCTACAGGTTGTGCAGAACAGCGCAGCCAGGTTCCTGACTGGGACCAGAAAACGGGACCACATCAGTCCGGTTCTGGCCTCCCTGCACTGGCTTCCGGTTTGCTATCGCTCACAATTCAAAATCCTCGTCTTTGTTTATCATTTCTTCCAGGGTGGTGGTCCCCCCTATCTAGCCACACTCCTGAACAAACATTCCCCATCACGTGCTCTGTGCTCCTCTGACCAAGGCCTGCTCGCTGTCCCTCGTTCTAGGTGTCGTACCCGTGGGGACCGGGCTTTCTCAGTCCTAGCACCGTTACTCTGGAACCAGTTGCCACCCTCAGTTAGGCTGTCCCCATCTCTGCCAGTCTTTAAGAGTCACCTAAAAACACACTTCCTCCGCTTGGCGTTTCCAGAACATGTTTGATTTTGGCCCTCTTTTATGTTGATTTTATTTCACAGTTTTCATTGGTTCACTCAATCCAATTGTGTTTTACGCATTTGTCCTGTACCAGAATGTTTCATCTATCTTGTAATTTCTATTTTGTACGGCAGCGTAGAGCTGCCACCCTACGCAAAATAAAATTGGAGCGATATCACGTTATAACATATTAACTTTATTGTTCTAACAATATAACTTATTGTTCTAACAATATAACTTTCACGTTTGTACAATATAAATATCACGTTTGTACAATATAAATATCACGTTTGTACAATATAACTTTCACGTTTGTACAATATAAATATCATGTTCATACAATATAATTATGACATTCGTACAATATAATTATCACATTTGTACAATATAAATATCACGTTTGTACAATATAACTTTCACGTTTGTACAATATAAATATCATGTTCATACAATATAATTATGACATTCGTACAATATAATTATCACGTTTGTACAATATAATTATCACGTTTGTACAAAATAAATATCACGTTCATACAATATAATTATCGTTTCACACGAAACGACACACGACAGAGAGCTGACAGATCATCTCCCGGAAACATGGCCTCAAACACAGACACCCCACTTCTGAGATTTTTACGGAACCGTGGTGTACCTGAAGACTGTCTCTTACGAATGCTACAAGACGGTGTAAGTGCTCTCTTTCAAGGAACATTTGTAAACTTTTAAGCAGGTGTGCTTGAAACGTGTGCTGTGCTATTTTAGTAAGTAACTTACTAGAGCCAAGCCAAAGGGATCACAATTCGCCCACTTTGGAGCACGTTTGGTTATTTAACGGCGTCTAATTCACCGTCTTTAAACTTAAAACGCCGAAAAAAGACTGCGGTCAAGTGAGCCGTCGTTCGTCTGGCCGTGGTCAAGTGAGCCGCAGCTAGAATTGAAGTGCGCGTTTATACGGTAGTTTACGGTAACACCGTCTGCAGGAGAAGAGCTGAGTTGAGCGACAGAATGGGCTGAAATCAGGATGACAGAGCTGCTAAATGTGCCTTTTGATACACACATACTAAGTACCTCAAGTACTACCAATTACTACTAGGCTTTTCTTAACTGTCCGTTTACTAATCTTTGTAAAAACACGAACCAAATTGGCTTTTACTTTGAACTCTCCTTAGCTAAAAAAAGGAAAACCCGTTTCTTTACGAGTTCTCATGAGGGCTGATTTGACCAGGAAAGATATGTAAAACACTGATTTAGCTTTTTCCAAATGAACTGAGCGTTTAATTTTCTGTAGAATAAATGATGTGGAGCATCTAATAACACTGCTGGCACAGATTGAGGATAAAAATAATAGAATTTCATAGAATGGCATGACAAATCATTGTCATAGCACAAGTAAAAATTACATTCAGCTTCATTAATTAAATGTATTGTGACTGGCAGTAGGTGTCTCTTTGTAAAGTAATAAATGTCTCTGTTATTTCAGATTGATGCCACAGTGATTGATTTCATGGATGATAAGACCCTGTCTGGTTACATCCCAACATATGGTGATAGGATAGCTGCAAGACGGTTCTGTTTGGGTAATAATGATGCAAGGACAAAGGAATCAAGAAAAAACTCATTTCTTGAACAATTGAAGAAAAAGATGGGCATCGATGAAAATGGGAAGAACCCCGATCATGAGGATAAGTTATCTTGTAAGAGAAAAAGAACATATGCACAAAACAACAAATGGGCTCAGAAAAAGACTAGAAAAATTGAGCTGGGCTGGATCCATGAAGGTAAGCAAGTGAGAAAGCGCAGAGGAGGAGGAACAAGGACCTTTGATGTTCCCAAAGACTCCAAGAAAGCTGACTTATTACAGTATGCCAAGGATCTTTTCTTTCCAAATGGAAAAAGCAGATTTGGAAGATGGGATGTGTTCAGATGTGATGTATTAGACTATCAGGAAGAGGCTGTACTTGATGACGACATCTCAGTTGGGGAGCTCTACTCAATACTTAAAATGGGAATGTTGAGATTTTACTTGTGCACAAGAAGACTTTCTTATGAAGATGAAGGCGAAGAAGATGAAGTTAGTGATAGAGGGGAAACATGTGAAAATGTGACACAACTGACTGACTCACATCAAGAAGATGAGGAAGCTTCTCAGACTGTTGTGATCTTGTCATCAGATTTCAGGAATTCTGGTGAAGAAGCATCATCAGACACATCTGAGGTAATGATTGGTCCCTACCTTGGAGAACCTCTGGCTTGTCACCTTGATGACACATTAATAGGTGAAGCAAACCTGCAGTTAGAAGGAGATGATCTGGTCATCACATCCATTACATTTCCTCAGGCAAGCACTCCAGGCAGTTATACAGATACACCTATAAGCAATGAAGCAACGAGTTCTTCTGCATCATATGAAGTGGTCTGTGTCACCATCAAAATCCACAGGGTTAACATTCTGGAGGAGATGATCAACCAGTTCAAAGATACAGCACTCCTGAGACACCCATTAAAATACACCTACATTGATGAAAAAGGAGCAGATGCAGATGGTGTATCAAGAGATGTGTATGCTACATTTTGGGCAGAGTTTGTTGACAACACAGCTGAAGGAGAGGAGTTCAGAGTGCCATCACTGTCTCCTAAATGGCAGGAGGAAGAATGGAAGTCCATCGGTAGAATTTTACTGAAGGGATTTCAAGACCATGGATATTTCCCTTGTCGCCTTGCCCCTGTTTTCACAGTGGCACTTATCTTTGGTGAAAATCAAGTTACAGATGATATGTTGTTTGAAAATCTCCTCTTATACCTAAGCCAATCAGATCGGGATTTAATAACAAGAGCTCTAAAGGAAGATGTTTCAGAAGAAGACAGGGATGAACTTCTGGATCTCATGGATCGCCTGGATGTATCAGTCATCCCAACGCAAAAAAACTTAAAAAGCATTCTTCGGAAAGTTGCTCACAAGCAGTTGATCCAAAAACCATCTTATGCCATGGAGAAAATTTCATTAGTTGCATGTCACTTTCTAAAAGAAGCTTTCCAAAGCCCACAACATGTCCTACAAATGTATGAAGATAAAAAGCCAACAACAAGAAAGCTTTTGAAGTTGCTCACTGCATCTCCCATCTCTGAAGCCGAGAAGCAGAGTTTCAGATTTCTGCAGCAGTACATCAGAGGACTTGATGATGCAGGCCTCAGAAAGATGTTCCGGTTTGTTACTGGGTCAGATGTCATCTGTGTTCAGAAAATTGAAGTGCTGTTCACACCTGTGGATGGACTGGCACGACGCCCTGTGGCACACACGTGTGGCCCCGTTCTGGAAGTACCATGGACATACACGTCCTACCCAGAACTACGAAATGAACTGGATAACATTTTGGCAGCCAAAAACTGTTATGAGTTTAGCATAGCTTAAGGTCTCTCATGTTTAAAACCCTAGAAACAAAGAGTTGAAGAAACAACATGGTGCTAATGTGTTTGTTAAGCCCACCTCCGCAGTGAATACATTATGAAAAATGAAAGAGCTAAAATTTCAGGAGATGTTTTATTAGTAACCAAAAAGGCTTTTGAATATATTTGAGTCTCTTGGAGGGTATGCCACATATTCTCCATCATCAAAATGTACATTTCAGTTTACAGTTTCATACATTAAAGCTTTACTGCTCGAAATGAAGCATGTTCAATCCGTTCATACACTATGAAAGTTGGGCAGTGTTTATAATGATAATGTTTTCATGATCTGACAAGGTTTCAACAGGTCTGTTTCATAAAGATGTCTGTTACAGCTCACGTTTTTTAGTAATGATTCAAGCATTACTATTAATTATTTTCAGGAGTTTTTTTTTTACTGTGTGCCAGTTATTTGATTTAGAACATATGTTCAGGAAGTTCTTAACAAATTTGCATGTCAGTCTGTGGATTGATGCAAAAGTTGACTGGAATAAGATACACAGAAGATAGCCATTGGCAAAGTTAATTATGTAGCTTCTCAAGAGTGCATTTTTTTCTTCTTGAATTCAAATAAAAGGAAGGTTAATATCTAACAACGTTTGTTTATTGTTCAATAATTCTGAATCGTAACATTAACTGTTCAAAAGTTGATAGCAGTTTTATATATGTTGAATCTGAAACACAGATGTCATGAATATCAACTGTCATGTTCAGAAATTAAAAAAATGGTTACTCATCAATCTGAAAATAGAAATCAGATATAGCAGAAATGAAGTCATTAAAATGTTTTGAGAAGACGAAAGGTTAAGGTTCTTCAGTGCCTTTTTCCATTGCCACTGATTGATTAATTAATTTATTTTTGACTATTCAATTACTTCAAAGTTGTAATTTGCATTAATAAACATAGGTGGCAAAGGCTTTTGATAAAAGGAAACAAAACCAAGGAAATTCCCATGACTGTTTCGGAAAATCATATAAAAATGAACAATATTGTTTATATAAAGCTGTGAAAAGACAGATTTGAAAAGATAACATCCCAAAATCAATCAGATTACCTTTAGTTTTAAAATCTAACTTCAGAAAATAACATTCTCTTGTTTTTTCAAAAAAGGAAGCAGATAACATATCTTTCTCTAAATTTGAATTCTAGTTGTATCATTTACTATAGGACAAAAAGTATCAAAGAAACTAAACACAGGTGGTGATCACATGGACATTTGATCACCAATGATATCAATATGGTATAAATATATGCAAATATGTTGCAATACTTCCATACATTCCAAATGTTTTTTGAAGTTTATAAGTCCTTCAGTATGTAGGCTCTCAGGAAGAGATACAGTTCAATGGCTTCATCTGCTGTGCTTGGTGGAAGTAAGAAGTTCTCTGACATTAAAAGGCAACACAGGCTGAATACTGTTTCATCGCAGGTATATGGTCCTCTCATTTGGCATTCTTCTTTACATGCATCCACTGCCTCCTGAGAAACCTCTCTCAGATGATCATGTCCTCCAAAAAGATGTGGAATGGTGTACATAAGAATTGGACGTCCACTTGGAGCAATTGCATGTCTGCTTCTGCGGATGATATGGGTGTTCCACAAATGCACAACTTGCTGCAGCTCCTCCTGTAAAATATTAGCAATTTAAAAGACCCACTATCAGTAAAATATCAAGATTTTTGGTTTAGCATTTTAACCCACAAGCATCACATGCAGCCAGTCAGGGAAACGATCAGATTTTATGAAAAAAATGTACTCATAATTACGAATAACAGTGGCGCGAGCAAAATGGAGTTGTCAACAATGGAAGCTTTTTTAAGTATGACCAGAACATTACCACAATAAGCCTGGTCTTGTACACACACACACACACACACACACACACACACACACACACACACACACACACACACACACACACACACACACACACACTCACACACACACACTCACACACACTCACACACACACACACACACACACATGCTTAGCGGGTAAATACAGGTGTGGTGGCCTACCTCAATGATGTTCAGGCAGGTAAACAATATGAGCTGCTTGTCCAAGAAGCATCCAGAGAAACAGTCTTTGTCCTTTAGTTCCTGGAGACGATTCATCCAGTGCTGAGCGTGGTGCCGTCTCAGAAACGCCCACCAGCCTTCAATTCGCTGATTGTGATTGCTGGACCCAGTGATAAAACTGTTTCTGACATTTTGATCCTGAGTCCATCGCAGGAATCTCTGCATCTCAGCCATTATGACATTTTCTGTTCCTAAATCAGAGCGAATCCTTGCAGCTGTGCCCATCCTCTTCTCAACTTCTGTGATGAAATAACCTGCGATGACTTTGGGGTCATTGTTTGTTGAATAGGCATGAAGCCAAATCATTACTCTTGAAAAGCCATCAATCGCTCCATTTATGCAGATTCCAAATGGTTTTAGTTTGTCATAGGAGTCAACATGCCACATGAAATTCGGTCCTGGATTAACATACGTGCGGCGCGTTAGGCGATTTCTGCGTCTTTGCGCAACCCCATGAGGGTCAATATATTTCAGTAAATGTCTCACAGTGCTCTGCGTGACAACATAACCCGCCTGAATGCAGTTCAGGTGGTGTAGTTTGTATCCATGAAGCCTCCCGTACCCCTGCAGTTGATCTATGAGAAATGCAGCAACCTCCAGCGGATCGGAGTCATTCTTCCTCCTGTACAGCCCCATGCGCTTTAAGTTCCTTCTCAGCGTCCGCATGCTTATTTCAATACCGTCCAAGCTGCTCATCAAGAGCAACATCTCTCCGTGCCTCATTCCAAGCATGAAATAGAATTTAATGAGTTCCGATAGACGAGACATTTTCTCACTCACTCAAAACGTGTTATTTATATATATTGTACAAACGTGATAATTATATTGTACGAATGTCATAATTATATTGTATGAACGTGATATTTATATTGTACAAACGTGAGTTATATTATACAAGCGTGATATTTATATTGTACAAACGTGAAAGTTATATTGTACAAACGTGATATTTATATTGTACAAACGTGATATTTATATTGTACAAACGTGATATTTATATTGTACAAACGTGATAATTATATTGTACAAACGTGAAAGTTATATTGTTAGAACAATAAGTTATATTGTTAGAACAATAAAGTTAAAATGTTATAACGTGATATCGCTCCAATTTTATTTTGCGTAGGGTGGCAGCTCTACGCTGCCGTAATTTTGTAATTTCTATTTTGTAATTTGTATTTTGTAATTTGAATTGCTTTTATTGTTGATTTATTAATATATTTACCTACAACTGTACCATGTTCAGAGCTTTGGGCTTCCTGACAGGGTTGCGGAAGGCGCTTTATAAATAAAGCTTTGATTGACTGATTGATTGATTGATTGACAGATGGCGTCTGTATGCTGTTATCTCTAAGAAACCACTAAGTTAGCTGCAAAACAATATTTTTCACCCAGAATGCGCTTCTCTCTCTGAAAGAGATCTTCTGAGATTCACCCACGCATCCAAACATCACATTTCATTTTAGTTTTCCATCCAGACCAAGCCCCCACAATGTGGCTCTAAAAATGGTCCCATCCCGGAAGTAAGAGAAATTGCAGTTCCACCCTCATCCGCTGGGGGCTGGTGTCAGAAGCGAGCAAATCCTCATTGACTCCCATGTTAAAAATGCCAATTTCACAGCAGAAATAAACATGTTTACAGCCTGGTACCAAAACATGTTTTTTGTCTAAATTATCTAGTTTATACTCATGACAACTCTGGGGGGGGGGGGGGGGGGGGGGGGGGTGAATTTTTTTCTCACTCTTCTGTTTATGTGTATTGAAAGCCTAAAATTCTGTATAATTAATGAGCATCCGACACACCTGACCACCGCCTCAGACCCACGTGACCACAGAGCTAGCTCCGTAGAAAGGCCTCAGTACAGCCTCGATGTCTCCTGTAAACTGTTTCGGGATATTGAGTCTCTGTGCTTGTGAATTCTGTTTTGGATATTATTGGTCAATTGTTGGACTAAATGACTTGCTGTGGTATTAATTGCACTAATAGAGCGTCCAACGAGTCTCCACTTAATTTTTTTTGGTAAGTTAAAATCTATATTTGTATTTTATGTCACTGCTGCCTTTAAACTAGCTGAGTTTACCGAAGTAGCTAGCTAACTATCAGTTTAACATGTAGCATGTACTGTTTAACCATGAAATTTCAATGTAAAATACGGTAAAATAATTAATAGGGCATATTTAGATGGGTAAAAGGGTAAAGGTGTTTTCATCTGAACCCTTAAAACCTCCAGCAGGCTACACTGCACTATTGACGTGTTAGCGCGCGGCGCTAACAACTTAGCGACGTGACATGTGTAGCGTTATGGATTTATGCTCTTTTATGAAAGAGAAACCATGCTACGTATTAATTCGGAATATTAATTTTAATAAATCAATAACCAAATTTTATATTGTTCAGAAGACTCAAAGGTTGTTTTCATCCATAAACTGCCGATAATATCTGAGTGTCTGTGTTTCAGTTCAATGAGGAAACCAGTTTGACGTTTAAAAGTTTTAATTCTTCAAATTAAACTAATGATTTTGAAATTGACAAACAGGAAATAACAATCACATTGGCAACTTTGTGGGACAATCTTTTAACAGTTTATATGCTGTTCTTGCTCAAATAGACCTTCTGGTGAATTTATGAAGATTGAGAATGTTGTGACATGAATGCGTGTGTGAGTCTGATTTTGCTTCAGGAAGAACAGGTGTCTGAGTGAAGTGATGGTTTGGATAAACTTAGGTCTTATCAGAGAACTGCATCAAACGCTAAAACCGTGCTCTGTCTCACCGAACTCTTGTGGACCCTCTTTCGGATCCGGGCCGTGGAGGATGTTGTGGTTCATCCAGATGACACCGGCGGCTGACAGGAGACGTAGGTGTCGAACGGAACCGGTCCAGAGTTGTCCTCGGTACACGTGGATGGTAGAGCGTTTTATCGATGCGCTTTCTTAAGTTAATTCACTCAGAAATCAAAAGACTCGGTAATGAGTCTGCGTTAGAAGTCGCGATTCAGCTATTCTGCCTGGCTTGGCAGAAACAGCGTGAAAGGGGGGAAGAACGAGCCAACAGGCTCTGCCCCCCCTTTGGTTTTCAGGTCTGTTCTCTCTGGTTGTCCAACACGAACTGAATCACAAAAGACTGAAACTTACCAAAAAACTCTCTCTTCTCAAAGCAAAAACATGTGCGTCATCAAATGTGTCTGGATTTTACTGTGGGAAGGTGTGTGAATGTTTGTGTGCTTGAGTGTGAAGGTCAGTACCAAACATTCAACATTATCTACTTAAGTGTGGATTCATTAATCCATTATAATTACCCCAAAGCATAAGTCATTCATTTGATTAAACACATTTATAATGAGCAAAATGATAATGGTTACTTTAACATTAAAATCAAGAAAAAGAAGTTTAAACTTTATGTTTTGACTTGGTCTGGGTACAACTCATGTAAACACATCTTCTGGTAGACTGCAGGTGGTTGATGTTATGGTTTCCTCCCAGACTCGCTGGCGTTCAGGACTTAATCTGTGGGCGAAAGTTCTCAATGACCCAGCTTTGACCTAGCTGAGTCCAACACCACCATTGTGACAGAAAACCCATATTTCCTCACGTTACATATGTCTCTGAGAAAGCGTAAAAACACGGACGCTTCTTCTGAAGCGGGAAAATAACACTTCTTCTTAAGCAGAGCAGGATGTCGCCTCGGCTCGTTCACGGCCGAGCCGGACTGAGCTCGATAACATTGACCAAGCACAGCCACCAGGCCTGCTGAAGGAACACCAGCAAGTTTCATCAGACTCGTAAAGTTTGTTTTTGCTGGGGACCCCCTGTATTTTACCGCTACCTCCTGCAGTCTTCCCCTATTAAAATTTAAAATGTGTAACTTTATGTATTGGGATAAATGACTAATATTCATGTTAAACTAAAATGTTAGGCATTTAGGGGGGAAAAAACAAAATAAACATTATACAGATGTCAAATAAATCAAACTGTAACTAAACTATATATTTTCAAAGTCTCGATTCTGGATAAAATCCAACAACATATGCTTTATAAATAACAAACACAACACATGGCTTTTACACACACACACACACACACACACACACACACACACACACACACACACACACACACACACATGCATGCACGCAAGCACATTCACTCACACGCACACACACAGTGCTCTGGTGTACCAGTGTGTTCATGAAACCAAAGAAGTCCAATTGCCTTCTTTAAAAATCCATTTGATGTCATACTGAACAACTGTTGTATTTGATTCTAATTTTAATGATTCTGTTTCAGGTGGAAATGCTGTGTGAATCCTGTGTAGCGTTGTGGTTTATGCTCTTTTATGAAAGAGGAACCATTCTACATTGTAATTTGTGATATTAATTTTATTAAATTAATAACCAAATTGTATAGTTTTAAGAAGACTCAAAGGTTGTTTTCGTCGATAAACTGACGATAATATCCGTGTGTCTGTGTTTCAGTTCAATGAAGAAACAAATTTGACAATTAAAAGTTTTAATTCTTCAAATTAAACTAATGATTTTGAAATTGACAAACAGGAAATAACAATCAACATTGGCAACTTTGTGGGACAATCTTTAACAGTTGATATGCTGTTCTTGATCAAATAGACCTTCTGTTGGAGGTGCTGAAGGTTGAGAGTGATATGATGTGATTATGGATGCGTGTGTGCAAAGTGTAGTGAGAATTGAACATGAGGTGAGATGAATGCGTGTGCGCATCTGATTTTGCTTCAGGAAGAAACAGGTGTCTGAGTGAAAAGTGATGGTTTGAATAAACTTAGGTTTAGTTGGAAAAGATGCATCAAAACGCTATCTGTCGTGTTCTGTCTCACCGAAAATCGGACCCCATTTTAGATCCGGGACACCAGAGGATGTTCATCCAATCCAATCCAATCCAATCCAATTTTATTTATAAAGCGCATTCACAAGGCATTACAACCAAACAAGGCGCTGTACACTAAAAATGTTGGTTAATTAAACAGGCGTTATATAAACATGTCGAACACAGATAAAAGATAAAAAGGAAATACAAGAAAATTCCCAAAAATAACAGCTAAAAATCATTAAGACACAGGGTGAAGTAAAAATAGGAAAAAAAAAAAAATCCAGGTGACACCAGCGGCTGGCAGAGGAGACGGAGGTGTCCGCGGCCCGGTCCAGAGATGCCCTTGGTACACGTCGATGGAAAAGCGTTTTGTCGATGCGTTTGTTAAGTTTAGTTCACTCAGAAATCAAAAGACTCGGGATGAGTCTGAGTTAGAAGTTGCGATTCAGCTATTCTGTCTGGCTGACAGGAACAGCGTGTGTGTGTGTGGGGGGGGGGGGGGGGGGGGGGGGGGGGACCGATCGGCTCTGTCCCCCCTTTAGCGTTTATTCAGGTCTTCTCTCTTTCGTTGTCAAGCACGAACTGAACTATAAGACTGAAACTTACCAAAAGCCTTTCTCTTCTCAAAGCAAACGTGTGCGTCAGCAAATGTGTTTTGGAGTTTACTGTGAGAATCTGTGTGTGGGTGTGTGAGTGTGTGTGTGTGTGCTTGAGTGTGTGTGATGGTTAACAAACATCCTCAAACATTATCTAGTTAAGTATGGATCATTAATCCATTATAATTACCCAAAGCATAAGAATCATTCACTTGATTAAAACACATTTATAATGAGTAAAATGATAATGATTAATCTTTAACATTAAAATCAAGAAAAGAAAGTTTTAAGACTTGTTATGTTATGACTACTTTTCCATGAGAACTCCTTCTTCTGGTACTGCAGGT